GAATTGTAGCTCACTAGCTTGGGAGGAAAGATCTATGACCTAAATACAGCACCAGTAAGTACAACATTCTACCAGACCTGGTGATACCATTGCCCCACCCATTACTTTACATAATTGTGCGCGTGTGTTCACTATTATCACTGCGCGAGGGTTTGCACTTCAGTGCCTTTCATTTGCACTGCGTTTATGTTACACCCTGTGATTACTTGTGGATTTAAACAGGATTAATGGAGGAAGGGTCATCAACGTAGCTGATTTTGGACTGACAGAGGACATGTACAACACTAACTACATTCGTCGAAGAAAAAAGAGTGAGACAGAAGAGAAAGTCCCCATCAGGTGGATGGCTCCTGACAGTATTGAAACTGCATCTACACCGAGGCTTCTGATGTGGTTAGCGGCAAAATGTGTATATGCATCACCCCCATGTTTTTCACCAACTCTCTCCTATTCAGTGGTCCTATGCAGTGACAATGTGGGAGATATTCACTGTGGGAGGGTCCCATACGCTGGAATACATGCCATGTGCCTTCTGACTGAACTAAAGAGAGAGAGAGACTGGAGAAAACCTGACAACAAGGCCTGCCATGATGACATGTATGGATTTAATATCTATCTTAGTATTTCTGATAGCTATGTCACCATATTTCTAAGTACAAGTCACACTTTAACGAAGATTTCCACCAGCAACTCAGGATGCGCGAAAGGTTTTGTGCACACTTGACTGTGTCTGTACATTATTCGGTGTTAGCAATGTGTGACTACAAAGGTTGTTGAATTGACTAAACATGCACCTTATAGCTAGATGAAATGTAGTGGAAATCTTTAGAGGTGTGATTTGTGAGCCATCCGCAAAAGTGAGTGTGTAGCTACATTGTTATGCCAGCAAGTTTCTCTTCTCTGCAATATTAGTTCTTTTTCTTTCAAATGTTTCCAGCTATAGAGTAGCTGTATATCAGTGCTTTGCTTCCACAGAGTAATTGGTTCCCACGAATGCCATGTGTGATCACTGTGTGACCGTAATGGCAATAGTCCTCCATGATCATGTACAATCTAGCTACCTATCCTATTATGAGGGATTATGCTTGCTTCATTAGATTCAATGTCATGGTCTCCTGCTGGAAACTGGAAGCTGGTGAACGTCCAAAGTTCTCTGATTTGGTAGTCACAGTGAATGACCTCCTGGAACAATATGGTGGCTACCTGGAGCTCTCTCGGTTCCCAACTCTTACAGTGGCTACTACAACATCCCCACTTCCATCTCCTGCTGATCATCCTCAGATTGAGCTGGCAGAGTTGGCACTTTCTGAACCAGACATGGAAAATGACTTACGAGTGTGAAGTAATTGCTCTGACTGTCGGTTTGATAGACTCATTTGACTTACGATTAAACCCTGTATATAGTTCCCATGGTGTATATACTACAATGAAAAGCATGTGCAAACCCTCTGTGAACTGCCCAAGCGCGGTATCGCTAATTGATAGGCTGGGTTAGTGTATCGCTCGCGGAGAGTCTGACATGATAGCTACAGTCTTCCCAGGTATATAATTCACTCTTGATAACTGACTAGTGTAGGAACGTCCCATTCGTAGTGGTACCACAAAAGCGCGCACGCAAAAACATTTTGTCCGAAGCAGCTTCCGAACTCCTGTGTCCAGTGGACTCTGGAAGAACCTGTGTGTTTGTGTGACCCCTGTGGAGCCTGCATCGGACGCCATGTCGACCGACCCAGAACACGTGGAGGAAGCACGTGACCACGAGTTGGAGAAGGAACCGGAACGGAACTGTGCTCCGACGCCCGGAACGCGGTCTGCGATTCATTCACCGGAACCAGACCCGCTCACCAATCAACCAGTTCTACAGCGATTTCGCTACCCGTTGAACTCCAGGAGACTGACGGCCGCTCACCTGCGCGCCATCGCAGAAGCTATTGGGCTGCCTACTGCGGGGTCAGCGGACCAACTTCGCCAGTGTATCGAAGGGAAACTCCAGACCGAGCGGGAAGACCCTAACGTCGTTGTCATCATCCGAGAGGTACAGACCACCGAACAGATCATCGCACTTGCCGATGCCGGAGGCGAATTTGTTCGTACGCCGCCCCTGCGCCGTGGCCAAGAAAAGGGCGAAGATACTTCGGAGGAGCTGCAAGAAGCTCGTACTCAGCTGCTGGAAGCTGAGGAGATCATCCAAAGTGCCGGAACGAAGGACGAAGAGCAAGCCCGTCAGATAGCGGAACTCCAGGATGCTCTCCTGGAGCAGGAGCAACAGATCACCGAGAGGTTCGAAGGGGAAGTTGCCGATCTGAAGCAGAAGTTAACTGAAGAAAAGACGAAGTTGCGACAGAGTTGGAAGACCAGTTGCGAACAACTCACCGAGCAGGATGCACTCATCGCCGCCAAGGATGAGGAGATCGCGGAGTTGAAGCACAAACTAGCAGAGCTTACAACCGGGAGAGCGACTCATCGTCCACCGCCGACAGTGAGAGTGGAACCACCGTCGGCCATAGCAGAAGATACAGCTGTACTCACCAGGCCACCACCATTGCCTGGAGCCTCACATCATTCTCAGTCTGGGGCAAGGACCAGACACGCATCCAGTGGGGACACCCCTCATGACTCGACTCTAAGAGAGACCACTCCTCGGACAGATCGACCGCCGCCAGGTGACCTGCCTACCATTACAAGTCCACCCTACAGTCTAGCGTATCCCGTCCCCTGGTGGACACCCTCACTACGGGGAGCATGTTCCCTCCGATCGGACGAGGAGAGGAAGAGCGCCTCCCATCCAATTCTTCTCTGGTGAAGATCCAGCGGTAACCGTGGATGACTGGCTCCCAAGCCTGGAGCGAGCTTCCGCTTGGAACGGATGGTCAGTAACTGAGAAGCTTATGCAGTTGCCTGGTTACCTCAAAGGACGAGCTCTGCAGGAGTGGAGCTTACTCGGCCCAACTGTGCAGCAGGACTACACAGCTGCTATCGATGCACTTCGATCCCGACTGGACTCCACCAACCGGACCATGGCTGCCCAAGATTTTCGTCACTCCATTCAGCGGCAAGGAGAGAGTGTAGCAGACTTCATCAGACGCCTTGAGAAGGCCTATCAGTTGGCATATGGTAAGGACTCCCTCAATCCAGCAGTCAGAGATGCTCTACTGTATGGTCAAATGTATGACGGTCTGCGGTACAACCTAATGAAGGGACCTGCAGTCTCAGGAGCACAGAATTACCGAGAGCTGTGTGTAGCAGCCAAGGGAGAAGAACATCGTTTAGCTGCACTCCAACAGCGCTATCAGATGAAGCCGCCTAGTGAGCCTTTGAATCGTCTCAAGAAAACCGATGCTGGACCAACTCAGTCTCGCAGATCGAACCAAGAGACTACTTCGCCGAGCGCCCAGGAGCGAACGGCGCCTAGCACGACGTCAGAGACCCAGGTGATCTGCTACAATTGTGGGAAACCTGGCCATATGGCACGGAATTGTCATCAAAAGAAGCAGGAAAGCCGAGGTCGAACTCCTAGTAAGACCGGTCAGCAGACAAAGACATGGACGAACCAAGTCCTCAGCCAGGATCAAGAAGCCACTCAAAGCCAACCAGACACGTTGACGCCCGAGAGCCTACTCTATTCTGACTCAGATGATGATGGAGGAGCCAACGCTCGCACTGTTCGTGTGCAAGATGGAGGTAGTCACAGTCAATGTGTCAAAGTTGAAGTGCAGGGCGTGCCTGCCTACGGCCTAATTGATACGGTTGCAGACATCACCATAATTGGGGGAAAGCTCTTCAAGAGAGTTGCCACTGTTGCACGTTTGAAGAAGCGTCATTTCAAGAAGGCAGACAAGATCCGAGGACTTACGACCAGAAGACCTTCAAATTGGATGGATGCATGGATCTTGACACATCTCTCATCAACATTGACGAAGACGGAAGAGCCCTCACAGTCCTATCCAACCACACTGGATGCTCCGTGACTGTCGACGAAGGAAGTTCACTTGGAGTTGCCATACCAGTGGAACCGGTGGAGCCTGCACCAGGAGGACTCCAGCTGCCAGAACCCGACTCAAAGCTTGGACCAAGTTCACCATCACAGCCGACCACCGAACGGACAAGTGTGTCACGTCTGCACTCCAAACCTGACAGTTGGAGAAAGAAGAAGCTAGCCGAGTCAGTTGGACCAACTGATACACTGAGCTCAGAACAGCAACAGGAGCTGATCGACTTCCTGGGACAGCATCATGCAGCCTTTGCACTGGAGGAACATGAGCGTGGGAGACAGATCTCGTCGAGTTCAATATCGAGACAGGAGCTGCCGATCCTCGCCGATGTGCACCGCGACGGATGCCGTTCGCTGTTAGAGAACAAGTTGCACGACAGCTGAAGAGTATGCAGGAAGCACATGTGATCCAACCATCGAGCAGCCCCTGGGCGAGCCCCGTTGTCATGGTTAGGATGAAAGATGGTAGTCATCGCTTTTTTGTGGACTACCGCTACCTGAATGCCGTAACCAAGCCGGACACCTACCCGTTACCACGAATAGATGATCTACTCGATCAACTGGGCCGTTGCAAGTACTTCTCCACTCTCGACCTTGCATCTGGCTATTGGCAGATAAAAGTCGCCACCGACTCTAGAGAGAAGACAGCATTCGTCACGCCTCACGCCTGTACGAGTTTCTGGTCATGCCATTTGGCTTGACTAACGCACCCGCAGTCTTTCAGCGGCTGATGCAGAAGGTTTTGTCTGGCCTCAACCCAGAGGCAGGGCCTGACTTTGTTGCCGTCTACATCGATGATGTGCTCATTTTCTCGCACACAGTAACGGAGCACCTTGAGCACCTGCGAGCAGTGATCCAGAGAATTGAAGAAGCAGGACTGAAGCTCAAGCCAACCAAGTGCCACTTCGCCCGCAGTGAAGTGGAGTATCTCGGACATTTGGTAACTCCGAATGGGGTTGAAGACTAATCAGAGACTAGTAGAGGCAGTCAACATGTTCCCAACACCCACTGATGTCAACGGAGTGAGACGTTTCCTGGGTCTTGCCTCGTACTATCGACGTTTCATTGATGGATTCGCGAGAATAGCTGCACCTCTACGAGAATTGACTCGCAAGAACACTGTGTTGTAAGAATCAATGAAGACTCTGAAGGAAAAGCTCACTAGTGCCCCAGTTCTCGCTTACCCCTCCTTTGACAAACCGTTCACCGTAGAGACTGATGCCTGCATCAACGGGCTCGGAGCAGTCTTACAACAACTACAGGATGACTCAAAATTACACCCAGTAGCCTATGCCAGCCGATCGTTGACGGATGCAGAACGAAACTATGGTATCACGGAGTTGGAAGCCTTAGCAGTAGTCTGGGCCCTTACCAGATTCCACTCGTACCTCTACGGCCAGTCTGTTACTGTCGTCACTGACCACACTGCGGTTAAAGCTGTGCTTGAAACTCCGAATCCTTCAGCCAAGCATGCACGCTGGTGGACTCGTGTGTATGGTACCGGACTCAAGGATGTTCGTATTGTGTACCGACCCGGAAGACTGAATGCCACAGCGGATGCCCTCTCTCGGAGCCCCCATTCTGGACCACCACCCCTGGGTGAAGGAGAGGATGAAACTCAAGTGTCTGCAGTAAAGTCATCAACACCTAAGGCTCCTACAGAGAAGTCTAGAAATCATGAGGATGACACTATAGAAGATCTTTTGGTGCAACCCCCCGGGCCAACCACTGCCGCAATAAGTTTTGCAGAGGAACAGAGAAGAGATCCCGAGGTTGCTGAAATCATCACCTTTCTGGAGACTGGAGAACTTCCACTGGAAGAAAAACGAGCCAGAGTAATTGCCCTCCAGAAATCACTCTTCGTCTTGAAGGAAGGCATACTCTATTATGCTGACCCGAAACAGGAACATCGACTCCGAGTTGTCGTCCCTTGCCATCTTCGAGAACAAATTCTCACAGAACATCGCTCTGGGCTAACTGGTGGACACTTCACCGCAAAGAAGATGTACGCAGCCCTCACACCTCATTGGTGGTGGGATGGAATGCACCATGACACCGTCCAATTCACTTCAAGATGTCCTCAATGTGCTGTTGTCACTGGTGGAAGTCGGCAACATCGACCACCTCTCCATCCCATTCCCGTGAGTCGCCCGTTTCAGATCATTGGAGTTGATATTATGGAACTCCCCACCATGAAGCGAGGGAACCGCTATGTACTCGTGTTCCAGGATTTTCTTACTAAGTGGCCGATGGTCTACCCCATGCCCGACCAGAAGTCTCTTCGTATTGCTGAGCTGCTAGTCAACGAAGTTATTCCTCAATTTGGAGTTCCAGAATCTCTTCTCTCAGACCGAGGAACGAACCTGTTGTCACACCTGATGACCGATGTGTGCCGTCTATTAGGAATCAAGAAGCTAAACACAACCTCGCACCACCCTCAATGCGACGGGATGGTGGAACGCTTTAATAGAACTTTGAAGACAATGTTGAGGAAGTACGCAGCGGAATTCAACACCCAGTGGGATAGATACCTCTCAGAAGCCCTCTGGGCCTATCGCAATCTCCCGCACGACTCGACTGGTGAAAAACCATCGTTTATTTTGTACGGAGTTGACTGCCGTACTCCAACAGAAGCTGCGCTCTTACCTGCTCACACCATTGAACCGACCGAAGTGTCAGATTACCGGGAAGAGATGGTACTCTCGCTCTCTGCGGCTTGCAGACTTGCTGCCGAAGCAATCCAAGCAGCGCAGACCAAGTACAAGGCGTCCTACGACCGCCACAGTCATTATATGGATTACCAGATAGGAGACTGGGTTCTCGTACGATTTCCTCAGGATGAAACCGGCAGACTGCGGAAACTATCACGACCATGGCACGGACCCTACCGTGTAATCGACAAACGTGACCCAGACATCACGGTCGTGAAGGTTTACGCCCCTCAGGACGGACAGATCCAGGTACACCAATCCAGAGTTGTTAGGTGTCCCCCTGAACTACCAGCGGGATTCTACTGGTATGGTAGTCGCCATTCCAGCCCAGGTCGCCCTCCCAGATGGGTTGACAAGTTACTACAAGGAACACCTTCTACCACAGCTCACGAGCTGGGAGAGCTCCGCTGGTACTGAATGTGGAAGCCAGTTCAACACAGAAGTGGACAATCCTGAACCAGATGACCAGGACAGAGAAGAGCAGCAGGACTCAACTGCCAAAGACACCGATGTTCTACCAGACGAACAAGATGAGTTAACCAGCAGTAACACCCACGCTAGAGATTGGGACCAGGATGAGACGCTAATGCCTCGAGAGATCGTGGGTGTAACATCCAGAACGGGACTTGCAACAGAAAGAAGAATACTAGCACCCCCACCTCCAGTGAAGAAGCTGGATCTGCAAGGTCGCAGCGACGGAGTGGGCTTCGGACCAAAACTGCTCCACCCACCCGCCTGATGACCCTCCACATGATGCTCGAGGACGAGCCTCCCTGAAGGAGAGGGGTGATGTAACGGAGAACTACCATTGACTTACTGTTAACTTACTATGCGCATGCGTGTATTCTGTTTTATGATGTAATGCTGTACTTGGTACTTAGAGGCTAATGTGCGTTATAGACTGTTTGGCTGATAGCGAGCGAGATCCGCCTGCAACGGCAAGCGAGTTTACACATATCAAACCAGGCAGCTACTGGGGCAGTTAGAAGAAGACAACTTTTCAAGACAGTTATTGGTTGGGATTGTCAGTGCTCATATGGAAGGTTAATGATTCACAATAATCACTGGAACTTCTGGTAGGCTAATAATTATACACTGCACTTTTGAAGCTTTTTAGTTGGCTGAGAAATGAGTGGCACATTGCTAGATGACCCAAGTTACCACTTCTTTTAGTATGATTCTATATACCTAACTTTATGGTTGTAGATTAGTTTTGTACAAGGCTTAGAGTGTTTTAATTAAAATGTGTCGTAACTAATGGCCTAATTAGTAGAGCACTACCTATCATTGTGAACAAGAGAAAGCGCAGGATGGAAAAATTACGGTGCTGAAATGGACCATCTCGGACAAAAAGTGCGCTCGTTTAACTAGACATGAAAATACGAATCCATGAATTGGGACCTTTTACCTAATCTCTTCTTTAAAACAACAGCTGTCCTGGGTGTAGTTGATTGGTTCGTTGTGCCTTTGCCTTTCTACGTTTTTTACATGCAGTGTATGCCCCTTCAAATTACCATTGCTGGCAGCTATTACCAACATTTCTAGCAGTTTCTCAAGGAAGTCCTACTCTAGCTATAATATATAATAAAGGAATGTAGTACACAATATAAATACATATCACAAGAGTACAACTTTCAAAGAAATGGAGCACACTTTGTACAATTAGCTAGCTATACCAGAAGCATTATCCTTTTCTGCTGCAAAGCAAACTCTTAATGTCCTATAATACATTTCTTGGCAGCTGCACATGGTCCCTCGAGACTGCCCTTGGCTCGTGTTTCTTCCTTCTTTGACTTGTTAATGCAACAGCCAGGGAAATTAAAACTAGTTGGTCAACCTTTTACTACTTAGAAACAGCAAACTAAAATGTTCACTTTTATTGTTTTCCTGCAATAAAAAGAGTGTGTTTTTGTGGCATGTCAAGAAACCACCTAGTTCTTAATAGCCCCGAAGAACCACATGGGAAGTCATCACCGCCAAAATTAGTGACTGGGTAGGAAGAGGATATTTTCATCAAGACGTGGTGGTGTTGTGACGTGAGAGGTGGTACTTTGATGGAAGGGGTGGTGTGCGTTTCGTGAGAGGTGGGCGGTGTTTTTGACGGAGAGAGACGTGGTGTGCGTTTTTCAAGGTGTGTGCGAGGTGGTACCTTTTGCTGAGAGGGAGTGCGGGTACCTACGTGCATGTATATACATGCGCAATGTGCCGAGCACTGTGCATGAAGTAAACAACATGAGGCAGTTATCTATCTGTGGCACACAGTGACGCTGTGTAGCTCGCCTTGTGAAGCATCGCCCATGCCTGAACCTGCTCAAAGTATTAGTAGGAGCAGCTGGACAACGTCGCTGTATGCCGCAGGTATTTGCTTATCTGTATGCACATGCGCAGTGCGCGTAGGTACCGCACTACCTCTCAGTAACAAAACAGAGTACCACCTCTCCGCAAAAAACGACCACCTTCAGAACACGCCCACTACCTCTCACAACAAATCACTGTGTACATAATAATTAATGACTGCATATGGAACACCCACACAGCACCTTTTATGTTGTGATATCTGTGAACAAATGTCCCTGTGTAGCCTTTACAAGCTCCACTAGACACCACTATAACCTGACCTTCCATGCTCCTTTGTGATATAATCCATAGTTTTCTATAATAACGGGTGGCTAACATAATTAGTAGCCTTCAGCTATGCATTGAAGTGTGTAGCTACTATCCAAACCACCAAAGGCACACCAAGGTTTTCAAAGAAAAAGAGATTATGAAAATTGTCTTAGGAATGTTAGATCCGTGCTATGCGTTCCAGAGCCCTATCAGGCTAATTGTGTCAGTGCAGCTGCAAGTTATTTCCTAATCCTTCAGCAATGGAAATGGGTAACCAATTCATGTTCTCTCCTCACACACTGTGGCACAATGCCCTCTGTGCCTATGAAAATTTATTGATGTGTAAAACTTGTCTTTTGAGTGACTATGAGACATACTTTGCAGGAGTTGAAGCTACTCACAACATTTTTCGTAAGCAAAAAAAAAAAAAAAAATAAAAAAAAAAAAAAAAAAAAAAAGCAGAAAAAAAGAAAGAAGAAAACGAAGTCAAAAAAAAAATAGGGAAAAAAAAACATAAAACAAACAAATAGATACTAGAGAAAAAGCAAACACCTAAAGGGAAGTAAACAATCAAAATATAAAGCAAAACAATAAAATAAGGAAAAGTAATATGCCACGACGAGAATCCTACAATAGAAGAAAAAAAAGAGAAAAATATCAAATAAGAAAAACAAATTAAAAAAGAAAAAAAAGAATAAAAAAAAAAAAAAAAAAAACAAGAAAGAAAGATAAAAAGAAAAAAAAAAAAAAAAAAAAACGACAAAAAAAAAAGAAAAGAAAATAAAGACAAGAAAAAAAAGCCAAAAAAAAAAAAGAAAGCAAAAAAAAGCACAAAAAAAAAAAGCAAAAAAAGCAAAAAAAAAAGCAAACAAAAAAAAAAAGAAAGCAAAAAAAAGCAAAGGCAAACAAAAGCAAGAAAGAAAAAAAAAGCAAAAAAAAAAGACAAAAGGCAAAAAAAAAAAAAAAAAAAAAAAGCAAAAAAAGCTCTGTGTGACTTGGTGTTATATCCGTACAGTTTGCAAAACATGACAAACTACGGCATGAAAGCACAAAGCAAGGTGTAGCTACTATCCAAACCACCAAATGGCACCAAAGTTTTCAAAGAAAAGAGATTAACTATTCTTTTTTCTTTTTTTTTATTACTGCAGTGTCATGTCAAGAACTTCACTCATAGAGTTACTGTTACTAATGTCGATGTTCTTGTGCACTACTGCCATACCACTGGAGGACTTCTACCCCTACGGTCCAGATGTTGGAGATTCTCAAGTAAACCCGGCAATTAATCACAATGGGCACATTTCTTTTGGAGATGTTGATGTTTGGGTGAGCTGACTATTGAAGGGAGTTCACAGAACTTGAGAATTTTTGCCTTGTGGTCTTGAAGACATTATTATTATTATTTTTACATGGTCATTGATCAGTAATCTTGTCTGCTACATACAGAGTGAGAGTTGACCAATTAGTTGTGGTTTGCCTTGTGCCTTTCTCTTATGGTATATATTTGAGCCCCTATAGCTATCTGCTAAGCAGCCCCAATAGCAATGTCTCAGTGTGTAAAGCACTACGTGTAGACCGCATGGTGTGGTGGGTTCAAATCTCATACAGGGCTGCTATTTCTTCAAGAGTTGTCTTTGGTTTTTTTTACCATGTGACACCTTCTAGCCGCTCTTAACACCCTCTATAGTGCATCTTCTGCAGAGTACCATGCCCGTCCAACCTCTTAGTGATAAGCCTTTGGACGCCATGAGTACATAGCTCCTTGAACAAGCAGAAAATTGTGTCTAAGTATTAGCGCCTAGTATTTAAACTGCCATATTATTAATTCTTATGGATATCATATAGACATGTTCATAATGTGTAACCATGGCTGGTTACGTGTTCATCTTTCAGGTGTGGTTTTTTGGTCATATCTTCTATGGTGCAAACAGCATTGACGTGTTTATTATTCCTCCAAATATTGATAATGTTGGAGGAGCTGTCTGGTTTCGGAAAAGCACCTCTCAAAACACAAAGGAGAGAGCATTGACTGACATACAACGTGTGTATCCCTCTGTGTCATACATTGACCAGATTTTGATTGCCACATGGGATCATCTTCACCTTTTGTCCCAAAACTATCAGGTAGCTAGCTAATATTGCATTAAACTCAGTCTTGTTGGACTAATTATTTATTTGACACAGACCAACACATTCCAGGCTGTAATAGCAACTTCTGGAAATGAAACTTACATAATGTATCTCTACGCTGATGGTCTCATGCAATGGATAAGTCAAAATGGTGGTATTAATGATTATGGTGGTATTTCTACTGCAAATGTAGGTTATAGTTCGGAAACCTTCGAGCTTCCCGGTTCTGAAACCTGCAGCATTATTCATATTACTTCAAGATCTAATGTCGGTATTCCAGGAATGTTTGTGTTTGATCTGGACGGAACACACCCAGTTTTTGGTAACAATTATTAGTGTCAGTTTGTGTTAATCATGTGTAGTTTTTGCTCATAGTCTCAGAATGTGAAGAGGGAGATGTTCGTCTAGTTGACAGCAACATGAACACCAATGCTAGTGGTAGAGTGGAGATGTGTCTGGGTAGTGAGTGGAGGGTAGTGGGAGATGAGACCTGGGGAGTGGAGGAGGCTACTGTTGTCTGCAGACAGTTGGGACTACCAACTGATGGTTAGGTAGAGTAGCTATAATCAGAGCGTCGGTAGACGCTCTATATAGGGATGACACGAGTGTGATCCGCGTACAAAACGCCTCAAAACTCAGCCAGAATGACTCATCATGGCTTCAAAATCACTAGCAATAGTCTAGAGGCCAATACCTAGATAGCTATACATATGCCCCAACACTTCCTACGTGCCCTCAGTTCCCCACGAGAGAATTCGCTCATACGCGATTTCACGATTTTCGTGTCATCATAATTATTCTTCATCATCTTCTTCTTCTTCTTCTAACCCGCTATCTCCTTACCAGTACCAGTCCAAGCGCTGATTTCTTACTCTTTCGCTTTTTTTGGCCCTTCCGATTAGCTATACGAAACAGTGTAATAATGATCATTCTCAAACACTTTCTCTGTCTATCCATTCTTTGCAAGTTGCATTCTAGGCTAGAAAAACTAGGCAGGGTATGAACCTACAATGGCTGGTCATAGAAACAGCTTCTTTGCACCCTACTTCTATCACTATTATCTTGCAATAAAAAATCTGCATCCGTAAGTGCCATTTTCCCATGCTGACTGTTAATTATCAACAACAATACATAACTTACCTTTATGTGTGTTTATGTAAACACCATGATTCATAGCACCTTACTACAACATTTCAATTCACAGTGGTAGTGGTAGGATGGAATCTAAAGAGTGCAGGTGTTCCAATAAGCTGCACTGGCAATGAGTCTTCACTGATGGATTGCAGTAGTGAGCCTGGTAAACGGGGTCGTTCTTTTATGCCACTGAGATGCAGTGGAGGGGCCACAACATCCACCTGCTTGGCTACTGGTGATTTCATATCTCTCTTCGATAGTAAAATTTGTCTCATTCTACTTGTTTTAGACGACTGTGGGGATTTCCTAGGACAAGACTCTCCAACATTCCAGCTGTTTGCTTTAACAGGTAATTGGCTGCCACTAAAGCTAGGAGAGGTCCATAGATACCGCTGCGAAACTGTTTTTCATGCTGCGCATGCAGTTCGATATTCTCAATATTTTGCAGTTCCAACCTTGCTCTCACTCACCAATAATGCTCCGGGTTGCCTACATTTTTAAATATCTCATATCAGATATGGAAGTTGTGTTCCATTCTCACCCTATCTGTTGGGAAGTGGTGGTATTCCTTGTGATAGTGTCTATGAGAGTGGAACTGACTATGTGTACCTCAAGAATAGTAGCGAGTCCTTCCAACCACTCAATGTACTTGGGGAGATTGAACAACAGCTAGATGACGTATTCCCCAATCACGACTGTACACTCTCAACTGTAAGAATGATATGTCACTACTACCTGCCTCCCTGTGGAAACTATATTCATTTTGAGCCACCGACCTCAGTCTGCTCTGATGCCTGTTATCTACAATTGAATCAAGACTTGGGCAAATTGAGAGTAATCCTCTGAACTGCTCATTATCTGAATCAATTTTGAATCCTATCCCTCATACATCTTGCTCTAATCTCGGAGTGTATACAAGTAAGTTTAGTATACTATACTAAACCTACACTGGCTTCATCCCAACATTGCCATCTTAGACTGCAGCACGGCATGAGTAGTGTCACTACTTTCAGATACCACTACATATGCAATGTAATGACGCTGTTATGGGCATTAAAATCTATTCATAAGATAAGATTGATGTAGTATAGTACACTATCATGCAACCAGCAACATAATGGCTACAAATATCTTCCTTTGCTTTCACCCCTGCAGCAACTCCTTCAGAATCTAATACACAAACTCCTCTAGTTACTGTTCTGGCTGTGCTAGTGGCAGTAGTTCTACTTTGTATGGCTATAATGGCTGTTGTGGTTATTGTAATTTGTTGGAAAAGAACTAAGTTATCAAGGTGAGATTTATTTTTCATTTCATTTATAACTATTCATGACTTTTGCATACACAGGGATTTCACTTCACCATATGAGAGTCATGACTCTTTCCTAGTGGGTACACGTCTGTATAGAAACACATAATATATTAAAATGTGTAGTTTGAGCATTCATTGTTGATGGCATGAAGTACAAATAACGAAAGCAACTAGGTGTGGTTACAAAAGAATAGGCACACAAAATTACATGTCATTGTCTCTATTTATTATCTTTGTCTCGCCACGATCATAAAAGGATGAAGATTTGTGCACTTACGCTGTGTAACAACCCTTTGCCTTTTGCCTTTTTGGTGCTTCACACCGTCCCTACAATATCCATGCATGATAGGTAGTTTAAATTTTCATGCTACCCCGTAGTCACTTGTTAAGCACACACACACACACACACACACATGTGCCTCCATCTTGCTAGGTGAAGATAGACAAACTGATATTTTGCACCACCTCCGAGAGCAACTGGAAAACAAGAAAATGATATACTCCAAGGATCAAATCCAGTTGTCTACTACAATAGGACAAGGTAAAAATTCTGTATGTTTGCACTTAATAAGGTTATGAAGTCGCTTCAGGAGAGTTGGGCTCGTGTACAAGGGATACATCAAAACTACAGTTGGAAATGAAATAGTTGCAATAAAAACAGGAAAAGGTGTGAACAATAATAGCCAACGACCAACATATGAGGTGTGTTTTTTCTGCAGCACTTTTTTCTTCTGGTGACTTGAAAACCCTTGCTAAGGAGGTGTCTACCATGTTGTCTTTCAGGCACATAAACATTATGTCTCTTATTGGAGTGTGTATTGATGGAGAGATGCTCCTGCTAATCATGCCATTTATGTCCAATGGAAGTGTGTTGGAGTATGTTAGGAAACACAAAGACAGACTCTTTATCACTGGCGAGCTCCTAAGAGTGGAGGTTAGACGTATTAACCACGTTGATAAACATGTCACTTTTGTCTACATTGCAGTTACAAACAGCATCTGCAGCACTTCTTCGGATATGTCTCCACATTGCACAAGGAATGGAGTATCTTTCTAGAAACAAGTTTGTTCATCGTGACTTGGCAGCAAGAAACTGCATGTATGATGTTTCTTTGCTTTATTAATAATGTTAGCTATGGAAAGTTTAAACCTTTATCAGCAACATTGACGCAGGATTGACGGGGAAGGAGTAATCAAAGTGGCTGATTTTGGACTCACAGAGGACATGTATTGCACTAACTACTTCCGTCGAAGGAAGAGTGAGACTGGACACGAGGAGAAGGTCCCTATACGGTGGATGGCCCCCGAGAGTATTGAATACTCTGTCTACACGCAGGCTACTGATGTAGTGAGTTATGAAACCTTGAGTGATGGCGTTCAAGGAGTGCATGCCCAATAATGCACTGTAATTTTAAATAGACAAGACGATTTCAATTTTTGTATGAGGTTTGTCGTTCTAAAAAAAATTACGTGGTGCTTCTATATAGTCGTAATGTCCCATATACAGACTGGTGGTATGAATGTTACCATGTCAAGTGCTTACATGAGTATGTAACTGAAAAATGGTTGCAAACTTTATACACTGACAGTTTTAAAAAATCAAAGAATACTTGATTTTAATTTCTTGTTCAATGACACCTGTCTTTATTCAGTGGTCCTACGGAGTGACAATGTGGGAGATTTTCACTTGTGGGAGGGTCCCATACGCTGGAATACAAGCCATCGGTCTCTTTAAGGGGCTAAAGAGAGGAGAGAGACTGGAGAAACCTGACAACAAGGCCTGCCATGATGACATGTTCGTTTTGAATGATTGAGCAGTCCTGGCTACTGTACATTGCTAATAGTAACTTTTCTGGCATCATCAAATATCCTTTACCTACCTCAGATATGATGTGATGTTCTCCTGCTGGGAAATGGAAGCTGGTGAACGTCCACAGTTCTCTGACTTGGTTGTCACAGTGAATGACCTCCTGGAAAGAGATGCTTGCTACATGGAGCTCTCTCGGTTCCCAACTCTTACAATGGCTACTACAACATCCCCACCTCCACCTCATGCTGATCATCCTCAGATTGAGCTGGCAGAGTTGACAGTTTTCTGAGCCAGATATTGATGAGAAAGAAAGTGATCCACGAGTGTAAATGTATTCTCAAACTGACTGTCTGTTAGATTTTATTATTATTATTATTTCAGCTTTACAACACAGGTAGGAGGTGATGCCATAAAGAAGTGTGACAGATAACATGGGAGGTGGTGACAACTGTGTTGAAGGACTGAAGGCATCAAGCCAGCAGCCATAAAAATAAAAATAAAATTACACAGAATAGGACATAACATGGACAACATTTAGATAAAACTAGTGAAATGCATTGAGATGGGAAGCTTAGAGCATTTTTGGCATGGACAGACATAGTGATAGGAGCATACATTATCAGAATCAAAGTGTGAGATGAAATGAATCCAAAAGAAGTTTCGCAGTCTAGACTTGACGGTAGCAATAGGGAAGATTAATATCAAATGATGGTAGAAAATTCCAAAGGCGGGGAATACGATTGAAGTAAAAATTTCTCTCAGACTGGTTTTTACAAAAGGAGTGCCTTAGCTTGAAATGAGAGGATGAGCGTGTAGGGTTGTCACAAAATTTGACATAATTGAGTATATTGAAGTGTTCGGAGGGGAATTTTAGGGACTTGATGAGATAAAAGAGACTAGTCAGTTGATTGTATTTTTGTACTCTTTACCCCATGTACATTTGCACAGTAGTGTTGGTGTCCATTTGATGTCACCTTTAAGGCAAATTAACACTCTTAACTGAATAGCTCTTCTACCAATTGGAACTGTAGTTAACCCTCGGCGCGCATGCGCAGCCAGGGTTACGTAGTTGTCCCGTCTGTCTGTTACCACGTTTTCTGCCACCGCGCGCACGAAATCAGGTAAATAGCGATATGATCGGGTTCAGTGCTTATGGGGTGGTATTCGTGTCAGTATTTCAAACGTCGATTTTGCCAAGGCATTTCCGTTTTGCCGCGGCAAAATTAAACTGCCGCGGCAATTGCCCCGGCAAAACCTGGGCCGAAAAATCCGGGACATTTGCCGCGGCAAGAATAACTAGCTGGGCCATGTTCAATCGTGTCAGTATTCTTGTCGTTGCCGGGCCTTTTGCCGCGGCAAAATGCTCTATTTATAAGTTACTTTTGCGATATTACAGTAACTGTAGTATATGCGTGAGAAAAAGAACGGACGCTCTAGCTTGTTCCTGCGCGGAGATCTGGGCCGAGAAAGGATAGTTGTTAGCATCATGACTGGAAATCGATATAAATAGAGCATACCGTAAGAGCTACGTGCTGCGCCGCTCTAAGTACGGACGGTTCCAGTTTCTCAATACATTGCTGGAGCCAGAACGGGACTCCGGATGTGACGTCACGTTCAATTATCTCCGCCCACTTTACGTGCCATGCACACTTTTGCATTGTCTATTGCCGCGGCAAATGGCAATTTGCCGAGGCAACAGCACTTTTGCCGCGGCAAAAGGCCCGGCAACGACAAGAATACTGACACGATTGAACATGGCCCAGCTAGTTATTCTTGCCGCGGCAAATGTCCCGGATTTTTCGGCCCAGGTTTTGCCGGGGCAATTGGCGGGGCAATTGCCGGGGCAATTGCCGGGGCAATTGCCGCGGCAGTTTAATTTTGCCGCGGCAAAATTAAACTGCCGCGGCAATTGCCCCGGAAAAACCTGGGCCGAAACATCCGGGACATTTGCCGCGGCAAGAATAACTAGCTGGGCCATGTTCAATCGTGTCAGTATTCTTGTCGTTGCCGGGCCTTTTGCCGCGGCAAAAGTGCTCTTGCCTCGCTCTAAGTACGGACGGCTCTAAGTACGGACGGTTCCAGTTTCACAATGCAAAAGTGTGCATGGCACGTAAATTGGGCGGAGATAATTGAACGTGACGTCACATCCGGAGTCCCGTTCTGGCTCCAGCAATGTATTGAGAAACTGGAACCGTCCGTACTTAGAGCGGCGCAGCACGTAGCTCTTATGGGGTATGCTCTATTTATAAGTTACTTTTGCGATATTACAGTAACTGTAGTATATATGCGTGAGAAAAAGAACGGACGCTCTAGCTTGTTCCTGCGCGGAGATCTGGGCCGAGAAAGGATAGTTGTTAGCATCATGACTGGAAATCGATGTGTTCTGTGTGGCTCTACACGTGCAACAGACCCTGGAGCCTCTTCTCCCAGGTTAAGCTGAGGCTCCTTGCTCGGGTCTCCACCAGGAAAGCGTCGGCTACACCGCCGATAATATGGCGTCAGCACCTAGCTGTAGATTTTGCAATCCACCTCGCTCTCGCCGTTTTTCAGCCTGGGAACGGTGAAGAGAGGCTCCAGGGTCTGTTGCACGTGTAGAGCCACACAGAACACACCGATTTCCAGTCAGATTTTGCCTCGCTAGTCGAGTCACGCCAATGAGGCCGCTCCTGTGCGCGCTCTACTGACTGCGCGCGAAGCCAGACTTCTGCGCGCACGGCGGAATTCCTACGAATGACAGAAGTTACACTTCCTTTTGGTGACTAATTTACATTCCTAAGCGTGACTAATTGACGACGTATAATTATACATACGTCACTTATGCTGGATATACAGTGTTCAAAATTTCAAGCATAATTTGGTAAAAATAGGAGCATAAATTGCACATAATCGAAGAATCCAGGAGTAGAATAAAATTCAAATATTTGAGCATAATTTCCTCAGCCCTAACCGTAACCCTCGCTGCGCATGCGCGCCGAGGGTTAATAAATCAACCTCCATGAAAGTATAGGCTAAGGCACATTTTGTAGCCACATGAACTTGTTTCAGAAAAAGGGCACGTACAGCTACCATTAGGTACTTCCTACGAATGTCAAATTCTTATTTACCATAAAATGGCAGATTATAGCGCCTATAATAACTGAAGGTGCTTTTGTCACAGTGCACCCAATCTTTGAGTGTAACTACACCACAGTGGAGCTACACCACAGTGGAGCTACACCACAGTGGAGGTGCAATTGCTGATCAGTGCCATGGGGAAAGAGAAGAGTAAACATAGTAATAAACAGAGAGACCAAATGACTATACAGATTACACAAAACATTAACCACATAACAAAACACCGTCAATCTCTTCGTCTTCTTTTTCTTGATTTCTTTTTCTTTTCTTCTTTTCGTCTCTTTTTCTTTTTAAGATACCAAAGGTCCGGTCTACTGGAAAGACAGACCAGTGAGGTCCACTTGACACTTGATGAAAATAGTATCGCCTTTGGTGAAATTGTCATCATGGAGCACAGATTGACTTGCAAATTTGGGAAATCCACCTGCAACGTTCATGTCTTTCTCAGGTCTCTGGAAGGAGGGACTGGTGAGGTCGGGGATGAAGGCCTCTGTGATATTGGCCGAGGGGTTCCCCTGGTTGATTAGTGTGAAACAAACCGACTGCTTGAATGGCCAGTGAAGAAGACTATCATACTCGGAACGCATGAGAACGAAGAACACAGACATGTGTGTGCCTTTACCAATACCATCTCCGTTGAGGTAGGTGCGGACGCACATGCGGTAGCCGTGCGGACTGGTGTAGAAAGAGGAAGGGGAGTAGAGGCTGATTGTGCGACCGTTGAGCGCATCACGATACCTCCGACGGATGTCCGGAATCTTCCAGATGAAGACTCCGTTGGTAGTCTTGACATCGAGGACGTCTTGTCTCAGACGGATTTCGTCGATCCGACCGCGTGTTGCATAGACACTGCGGACAGTTTGGAGGGCCTCTGTGAGTTTGTTAGCTCTGTCGCCTGACTGTCACCCTCTACTCATAAAGCTCAGTTTTCCATCCGTGTGACTACACTGGTTGAGCTGTCCACATCTCCCGCCCATTCTTTCCAGCAGTTGCAAGATTTCACTGGCGCTGCGACCCACACTTGGATTACACTGGCCAGGAACCCTCATGGACCTGCTACACACTGCCGCAGATTTAACCTCGTGACACTGTGTGTTCTGAACTGCACTTGCCTAGATGATAAAGCGAAACAGATCCGCTTATTCATTAACCCTCGGCGTGCATGCGCAGCGAGGGTTACAGTAGTTGGTTTGACTTGTCTGTCTGTCTGCCTGTCTGTCTGTGTGTCGATGATTATTCTGGCACTACAGGCTACGAGGCGGCCTATTAGGAATACCAGTGGCTTCAGAACTACGCGAGCCTGAAAAGGAAAAGCACGATTTTCCTGAAACGACTGCGTTCGAGAGATATGGCAGGAAAACAAGCGAAAAAGCCAATATGCATAATCACGCTGGCTTACCTCTGTGTACCTTGGAGGCACAAGAAATAACAACGAAGGCCGCGTGTCGACTCCCGCATGCTATCTACTAGCCGGTGTCAGACTCTTCGCGGGCTACTAGCAAGAGACCGCAAGTAACGCTAACTCATATAGTACCGCGCGTGCGCAGTTCGCCGAGGGTTTTGCTTTTAATTAACGAAATGATTTGCTTCTTAGGAACAGGTTAGTAGAAATTTTGTACGATGTAGTTAATATAGGGATAATGCATAGGGAGAGGCACAATGTAAATAGGACCCTACCATATCCAACTGCACTATAACCTGTGTATGAGGCCAGTCGTTCAAAAATATCACAATCTTAAGCCCCCATCCCTGATCGCTTCTCTCCATAGTTTGGCAAAAGCCAATGTAATAGAAGACCAAGTAACAGCAGGTATATATAATATTCAACCAGTGTGACAACGAGAGGGATCCTGTTTGCTATTCTACTAGTCAGCGTGTATAGCTATACAATTAACATGCGGATCATTTTATTTCCCTGAAAATACAAACGTTCTATTAATCACATGCAGGGAACACAGGAAGCTTTCATCTAGGACTGCATGTCATCTGATTGCTAAAAGACTAAGAAACTCCAGTTCATACCTGATAGCTGAGGCACAACTCCGATGGCATGTTATCTTTATCCTCATGATTCTAGCGATAATAGGAAGTATTGAGCAGCATGAAATATTCGCATGCCAACCGCACAAACCTCAAGGTTTTGTATGGGGACACTGGTGTTGCAGTGGTTGCAGTGAGTCGGTCTGTTGGGGCACTGGCTGGAGACGTGAGTGGAGAGCTGACTCTTGAGAACATGTTTCCCACAACCAAGAGAACACCGTACCTCTACAGTTGGACACTCTGCCAGATGGGCCTGCTGGTGACAAGAAGTGGGAGGAAGGGAGAGGAGGGATACAGATAGAAATATTAATATGTTCACCCTCTGAGTGTTAGCCAACTACATTCAGTAATTTTGCAGCAAGAAAACGAAAGTTTACTTAGCAATATAGTTGGATAGGATGACTTTGCTAGAAGTATAGATATAGCACAATCTAATAACGAAATAGAACTTCAGATAGCACAGCTATAAGTACAATTTAACTACTTAATACCAAGCTTGAGTTGTAGAGCATGATCATAGACTTTACTCAGGGTCATGCACCATGTGCTCCAGGCACACTCTGTAGACTTGTTAGTACAAAGTTGTGGTACCTAGCTGGTTCTCAGTTCTTGAATGAAAGAAGAAAAGTAAGGTGTATATTATATTACTAGCTCTCTTAGGAATTTTCTGCAATGGTGATCTTCTATGCATGTACATATAATGATAGGAGATGAGATATTAGCATATCTGTCTTTTTGTGTACCTCAAGGTTTGGTAGAGGACCTCTCCATCCACATGATGTAGGTTTTGTTGTGCACTCAATCTCCAATCTCTGGAGCTCCTTGAGGCAGCCCCTGTCCTTACGAACCTGAAACAAAGTGCAAGACAAACTGTATTGAGGCCGGAAACTCTGACATCACTACGCATACGTATATACCTCGTGGGCATTAAACTCAGATCCATCGACTGGGCATTTGTATGGCGCCTTGCTATAGAAGAAAGAGATAACACTGATTTGTGAGACACTCAAGAACTCAGGGACATACTTGTTCCTCATGAGTCCGTCAATGCATGACCGACAGAATCTGTCTCCACATGTTATCACCTGCACAGGGTCTCGGAGGAGTCCGTTGCATGCCGGACACATTAGGGTCATCAGCTCTGCTTCCTTCAGCTGGACTCCACTGCTGTAGACCTTCACTCTCGGTGCTGTCATCGTGATCCACCGTTCGAGTGCAATGTAAAAATGTCGGGCTCGTTCTTCCTTTTTATGTCGCCCGCTGACCTTCGCGGGATTCCCCGGAAAATTTCCCCAGGAAACCCCCGGATGCTGCGAGGAATTCTTGATCCACCAACTGGCCCGTAAGGCCTGCCGATTTAAGTTATAGTCTTCGTCTGGAGAGCTAGCTATCTTACATAGCTACATCCCTCATCTAGCTAACTAATCCTTGGACCTAAGTAAACACAGTGGCTAAGTATTTTTATGTTCCTCTGTGTATAGTGAATAGGTGCGCGCATAGTTGATATTTTGCTTATATACACCCCTTGCCTGATTCATTGCATCTACATACTTAAATTATTAGGAGTCTACTTCAAATTACTTTAATTTATTACACCAGTCTGGTTATTGGGTTATTGTGCCTCCTTGTGTTGAATTGTATGTACTGAGCTGCCCTGATGGGTATATAGCTTAGAACGCTGTGTCTAGAAGGCAAAATTGCTCATACATGTCATACATAATCAGGATAAATTCATTCTCGAGTTGTAATCGGATTTTATAGTCCAGCAAGATCAACTTGACATTTAATACGAATGACATCATCATGAATAAAACTCCTGTTATGAAGAATGGACTGGCACGCAAACTTGGGACATCCAGAGGCAATGATCATGTCCACCGTCGGTTTTTGAAATGAAGGGCTTGTAGGATCGGGCTTAAACACTTTGGTGATGCTGGCAGTTTGTGTTGAAAGACTCAAGTGTACGAGCTGTTTGAATGGCCAACAGAGAAAATCGTCGTGGTTTGAACGCATGATGGAGAAAAACAGTGATACATGGGTCCCTTTTCCAATTCCGTCGCCATTCAGATAGGCTCTCATGCACATCTTGTAACCGTGCGGGCCCGTGTAGAATGGAGGAGAAAAGATGCATTTGTTTCTTTCAACAGCATCTCTGTACTGTCTGTGGACGTTTGGAATCTTCCAGATGTATTCGCCGTTGTTTGTCCCCATTCCGAGGTTTTCCAGGCGGTGAGATATGGACGTCACATCTTGGGCAATGGCTGCAGCACAGCTCTGCATTCTCTGGACCTGTTCTCCAATATTACGATGATGAAGCTCCCACGGCTGGGAACACAATATGGCAGGCAATATTGGGAACTCTGCAATGCTTCTGTTCATTTGTCGAAAACGTTCCTCCAACTGATGCTGAAACCCGCCCTGTTCTCTGTGGTGGTGCAGATATCGCCGGTGAATAAATGAACTACATAGGCCGGGGACCTTTATTGGACCCGAACACACTGGTTCAGATCCCACTTCATGACTTTGTGCGTTCTGTATTGGCCTTGCCTGTATAAAATCAGGAGAGAGTAGCAATCACTTAGAGTATGGCCAGACAGCTATATGCATCAAAGGAATTGCCAATTGTTTTCAATTTGCTGTTAACCTCATGGACTCTTTCCATATACTATAACCCCATGGACTCTCATTCTACTATATAGTCATTGAACAACTGCAGCAGATCCATGACTGTATATAGCAAACACAAAGATCGTCAAACGTACATACCTGAAAGGTGGGCAAAGACTCTGCTGAAGTGCGCTCAACATCTTTGCGATTCTGCTGGAAAGAGTAAGCATGTTTTGTATAATTATAGATAACATTACGATTATATAGAGATTTTTGTGAGGGCTATTTATAAGAGGGTATAGTTTACCTCCGATTGAGATCTTGTGCACTTTGTCAAATGACTTTCAAGTTGGTGTAAGGTGACTGGTTCATGGCAGTGTTGGCAGGGTAAGGGGTAATGTCGGCACTCTCCTTCGTGATGAGCCTACAACAGGAAGCAAGTTGATATCAATGCCTTTAACGGCATCATACACTGTATCATACAGTTGGTAGCTAAGTTCTGCAGGAACGACTAGGGTTCAAGAAGAAAGGCTTAGTTGCATACATAGTGAACATCATTACCTCAACTATATATATGTGTAGCAATTAGAACTGAGAGGGCCATGTGTGTGTGCATGGTTCACATACTAATGTGAAACTGCCTTATTTGAACTTACATCAACTAGAATGAACGGGATAGACAAGTGGCAGAAATAGCAAGGCACCGTTCTGTAGGGACACTCCACCAGGTGGTCAGCATACTCTGCAGCAGTCACCGAGAGCTCGCAGCCATTTGGACACTTGCTGTGACGGTGTGGACACTCTGATGCATGCTTTTCCACCGAGCCCAGGTGACCGATCCATTTGCATTTTCTGCTTCTGTTTGGACAGTGTACTTCCAGAGAAGCTACATCTCGTCGAGCTGCTTTATCTGGGTATACCTGTGCGTAGAGACATATTATAATTATGTGTAGCTGATCAAGGGTAAAAGATGTGGAAGATTATGATAGGGCCAGAAGTTTTAAACAGCCACAATGATAGCTAAATAGCTATAGCTACAGTTTGATACTTACCGCAGTATGTGGAAGAACCCAAATTCCACAATTCTTACAGCAGGCTCTAAAAGATAGTAAAGAAACCACTATATTTGATGACCATAATATCGTCCAACTATAGCTGATTATACGTCAACTTCAACAGTTTTATATGTACCCCTGCGTTCTAATCTCTTCACAGCAGTCGCGACAGAGCCTGTGCCCGTCCCCAGTCTGTACAGCATCTCGGAGAATCAGCCTGCAGTGTGGACAGTAATAGCCGTCTTTGACTTTGGTTGTTGGAGAAAAGATATGCCCTGGCATCTTTGTAGCTCTGCATAACTGGCTAAAGCGACGTTAGTCGCTTTATACAGCAGTACCCGGGACAGGTAGCGGACGCGTAGCAGCGTAAGAACTTTCGCGAATGATCTGGACAGTTCGCCGTGATTTCTGATGCAATCGCATGACCTTTGATGACACAGTTTCGTCATAGTTCCGTCCGTCGGGCTTTGCAGCGGCAACTTACGTTACGTCTCGCGCCTTTGAACTTTGACCTTTGAACTTTGAACTTTGAACCGGCTGTCTGCTGAGTTAGTTAGCATGTGATTTTGACATTCACGGAAGAAGAAACTGGTAAGGTTACGGATAAGGGTCTTGGAGCGTATAGTTCTGGCAGAGGGGTTGCTCTGGTTGATAGAACAACTGGAATTTAACCCTAGGTAGACCTATGCTACTACATCCAATCTGATTAGCAGTATATTTTGCATACAGTTTATTACACTAAACTAGGGTGCATTAAAATACTTATGTCGTTTCTTTCTAGCTATATCAATGAAATGTGTTGAATTCTAAAAAAATGGTGTTACCTTCACATGGTGGAGCAGGGGTTAGAGTTTTGGTAATCCACTGGCGACATTTGTGTCCTTATAAGGTCTCTGGTGACTGGTGAAGTTGGGACTTTTGTGATGCAGCATAGAATTATAGTATAAGGAATATACAGGCTGTGTTGTCCTGAATTATCCACCTTTCTTGTCTTTATAATATGCTGCGATTCATGGCGGCTGCTTCCTCTTGTACAAATGTCATCTAGTTTTGTGCACAACCCACAAAAAGTTTTGATCAGTCACACACAAAAGTAAACCAACACCATCAAGGATCACACACAAAAAACAAAGGAAAAACTACTTGCACACTTTGTGCACGTAAATCAATTTCAATATGAAATCACGCGTGGAAACTAAACACAAAATGACTAAGGATTGAGTAGATATGAAAAAGGAGATAAAGTTTATTGGGAAGAAAGTCCAGAGAGGTCGACTTGACACTTGATGAAAATAGTGTTGCCTTTCGTAAAGTTGTCATCATGGAGCACAGATTGACGTGAAAACTTTGGAAATCCACTGGCGACGTTCATGTCTTTCTCAGGTCTCTGGAAGGAGGGACTGGTGAGGTCGGGGATAAAGGCTTCCGTGATACTGGCCGAGGGGTTCCCCTGGTTAATTAGTGTGAAACGAACCGACTGCTTGAATGGGTAGCAAAGAAGGCTGTCGTGCTCGGAGCGCATGAGAACGAAAAACACAGACATGTGTGTTCCTTTACCGATACCATCTCCGTTGAGGTAGGTGCGGACGCACATGCGGTAGCCGTGCGGACTGGTGTAAAACGGAGGGGAGTAGAGGCTGATTGTGCGACCGTCTAGCGCATCGCGATACCTCCGACGGATGTCCGGAATCTTCCAGATGAAGACTCCGTTGGTAGTCTTGACATCGAGGACGTCTTGTCTCAGACGGACTTCGTCAATCACAACCGCGTGTTGCGTAAGACTCTGCTGCACCGTCTGGAGGTTCTCGCTGATTTTGAGGAGCTGCGTCTGGTGGCTCTCCATTTCCTGTCTCATTATGCTCACTGCCGCTGCGTCCGTCCCTCGGCCCGTGGACACTTGGGTGCTGAGAGCTTTGAACGAACGGGACATGTTGCGCATTTGGGAAATGTGTGGTGGCAACTTGGAGGACTCCAACGCAGTCATGTGAGGGTTTTTTGTGACGGCACAGTCTGTTTCGACAAACTGACCGCGGGATAGGTCGAACCCACTGTCCAAAGCCGTAGTGACCTTGATTACCTTGATTTGCTTTTCTAAGTTCACTATTTTCTCTTTCCCGTCCTCTTTCTCCTTTTCTACCCTTTCCAACCTCCTTGTTAAATCCTCTATTTTCCGCTTATCTTCCAGACGGCCCTCAGTCAGTGATGTCACTTTTTCTTCAAGGGAATCAATCTTTCTCATGGCAGTCATCAAAAGCTCGGCAAATTGGATTGTATGTTTTTGCATGTGATCGGACATTTCTGGTCTCTTTGCCTGAAGAAAAAAAACAAGCATACAGATCACTCCAATGTCCTACTTTCAAACAAACTAGCCTCAAGATCCCTTAGAATGACTCTAGCATGCTGTTTTAACTATGTGGCCTCACTTTCTGCATGCATAATGTAAAAAGTGAAAGTACTGGTGCTTCACGTGTAGCATTGCTCATGGTTCACAAACACCAACTTTAATGCCTCCCATTAAAAGGCAGGCAGGGGTTTAACATTAAAGACACACTGAGTATACTATCTGTCCGATATACTGTCAGTAGCATAAACGAATGTAGCTATACATATGATATTTTACTTTTTCTGTTTACCTGAAAGTCACACAGGTTGGTAGAGCTCATAGGACAACTGATCTGGTACTCTGTACACTCTGACTCCAGATGACTTTCAAGCTGCAGACAGATAAGGTGTAGTCAATCTTGTTGGTCCAACAGAAGATTATCAAAACCATATTAGTACTCAGAGCATAGACAAAGAGTTGCTGATGGAAACAAACCTGCTTTCGACTTGATAGGTGTTTGCTGCAGTAGTCGCAATCAACAGGGACTTCCTCACAGGATTGGTAATGACTCTGTGCGTGTGTGTAAGTGAGTGAGTGTGTGAGTGAGTGTGTGTGTGTGTGTGTGTGAGTGGGTGTGTAAGGAGTGAGTGAGTAACAGGAATGAGCTAATAAGAATAGTATATACTCAAGGGAATTGTTTGGTTTTCATAATGCATACCACAGTTACTATGTCAGAAACTATGTATATTAGAGGGAGTTACCCAGGGAACTTCAAGCTCAGAGTTTACACTACACCTCTTCAACTTATTTGAATCACTTTCAACAATGTCTTTCAAAACACTGTGTGTGTACAACCCCCAAGGAACTCCCAAGTAGGCTGATGAAGTCATGTGTTGTACAATCAGAAAGCTCCCAAGAAGGCTAGGCAGTCATGCACAGCAGACCACACTACATAAAGCTTATACTGAGTAAAGGTGGGATTGGAACCCACGACACTCTGCAGTCTAGGCGAGCGCCTACCAACTGAGCTACCAGGGCAACTCAGCTGAGGGGTTCGAATCTATAACACAACACAACACAAGGCAAATCTCAAACCACTGTGCTATGGCACAGTATACTCTCACTTAGCATGCAAGGGTACAAAGCTCCCAGAAGGCTAGGCAGTCATGCACAGCAAACAACACTACTTAAAGTGTATGCTGAGTGAACTCACCTCAAGGTTTTGTATGGGGACACTGGTGTTGCAGTGGTTGCACTGAGTCGGTCTGTTGGGGCACTGGCTGGAGACGTGAGTGGAGAGCTGACTCTTGAGAACATGTTTCCCACAACCGAGAGAACACCGTACCTCTACAGTTGGACACTCTGCCAGATGGGCCTGGTGACAAGGGGTGGGGAGGGGTGGGGAGGGGGGAGGGGAAGTTTGATACCTGGGCATCAGACGACTTTTTTGGATGAGCTATTTATACTCAGTCATGTATTAAATATCTATCTGCTAGAGAGTATGCAATGATGGTATACCTCAAGGTTTGGTAGAGGACCTCTCCATCCGCAAGAGGTAGGTTTAGTTGTGCACTCAATCTCCAATCTCTGGAGCTCCTTGAGGCAGCCCCTGTCCTTACGAACCTGAAACAAAGTGCAAGACAAACAGTATTGAGGCTGGAAACTCTGACATCACTACGTCCATACCTCGTGGCGTTTAAACTCTGTTCCATCGACTGGGCATTTGTATGGCGCCTTGCTATAAAAGAAAGAGATAACATTGATTTGTGATACACTCAAGAACTCAGGGACATACTTGTTCCTCATGAGTCGGTCGATGCAGGACTGACAGAATCTATCTCCACATGCTGTCACCTGTACAGGGTCTCGGAGGAGTCCGTTGCATGCCGGACACATTAGGGTCATCAGCTCTGCTTCCTTCAGCTGAACTCCATTGCTGTAGACCTTAGCTGCCATTGTAAACCACTCGTTGATACTCTGGTTGGAATTTTCTAGTCTCAGTTTCGAGGATACCAGCTACTTTGCTCTTCTATGCTTATAAATAAGAGAATGTTTTTTGAATTTTGAGGTACAGGTGGCGATTTGTAGCCGATCCGTCGTTGCTTGTCCTAGAAGTTACTCGTGGCTCTATATAACGATTCTGTGTAATAAATGAATAAAATCAACACACAGTCCTACAGTGTGTGCTTCGCTATCAAACACACCTGTAGAGGGAGACCAGTCACAGAGCAACAGGACAACCACTTTTTATAGCAGCAGAGTTGTCTGCAATGAATGATAGTGGTACGTGGAGGGTCTTTTTTGGGAGTTCCCCGTGTATTTCCCCTCCCTGCTGTGGTGCGCACGCGCGGTTATGTGCGGTTTCCGCCCCCTACAACTTTGGAATTTCCCCGAGGATTCCCCAAGGATTCCCCAAGCTTAGATGTGCGAGCGTCATGGACTACGTCACTGTGTAACCTCTAGTCTGGGTATATACGAGCCTTCATAGTGGTTAAGATTATGCTTGAAATGTGACTCCTGACTGTGGATATCTAAATTTTACCTAGTAGAGCTTGTCTACACATATTGTGTTTCGGGTGGTCTGGCCCACTGCGGTGGACTTAGGTTGATGCGTTCCACTTTGTTGTATGTTTTTTTCCAGTTTCCTCAAACGGCCAATCTCTTACTACTTTTAGCCAAATGTGATCTGAAAAAAGGTCTGAGAAATATATAGCTACCAGAAAAAAAGCAACTTTCACTAAGAGCATACAGAGCCGTACACTTTGGAATTTACATTGGCGAGCGAACCTAGCATATCTTCAGTGCTGCCTCAATACATGGTGTATATCTTGTAGAAATGTAGTAAGAGAACTACATTGTCACACTCGCACTGGCTTGCCAATACCAGTATTGGCTATGATATTGAGCAGTTTGTTGGAGTTAAGTAGCTAATGACCTCACTTTTTGTTAGCCAGCATAGGGGTAGAAGTAGCCCTAGCATTTCTAAGGGGAGTAGCTAGCTACTAAACCTTATTCATGTACATGTGGGGAAGTCTAATCTCCTGAGTATCTGAGCCGGTTTCCTACTAGCCCATTACGAGTCAGCCTTAGTTTTGTCATAGCATTACTCTAGTTACTACCCACAGGGTTTCCCAGGGTATAACCATACTGAAAGACCGCATGATGTCATACACACTCCCCAACTATATATGACAGTGTCTACACACTCCCCAACTATATATGACAGTGAGTGTCTACACACTCCCCAACTATAGTGTCTACACACTCCCATGTGACATATTCACTACAGATCATGCTTATCAACAAGTTTTTTTGGTGTGCTTGTGTACTGATGCATTCATCAATTTTCCTGCAACTGTTTTATTCACTATTCATAGCAATTCTTTATTAATGTGAATAGCTAGTTAATATTGATCCCACGAAGTGGTGCTGGTGTTTTTTTACAACACTGTTAGTTTTTTTCTGAAATTTCGATATTCAGTGGTTCAATATTCCTGTGTTTATCCAGAAAATACGAATCCCCCACAGAGCAGGGCGATGGTGAAGAACTTTCTGCTACAGGATTGTGATTACAGTAGTTGAATTTTCCTTCATCAGGCCTGATCATGTTACTAATGGCTGCTGCATAAAGTAGTGACAATACGATTTTGTTTAGCCCCTTCAGTCATAAGTGATAAATATTCTGTCTGCATTAGGTCAAGGGGGGAAATGTTGCCTGCAATCCTGCTCACAACATCCATATATACAAATGAAAGAGTATGGTGTTGGCTTTTGCTTAATCATCTGCCACATGGATGAGGGCAATAATAGCAAAGGTGGTCGTCTGATAAAATAGCTAGCTATTTATGCTAACGTGGGTATTACCCAGGTTATTCCCCTGCCACATGAAATGCACTACATCACCTGCTGATCTCACGTGGTAGTAAGGTCACGCAAGCTGAATGGGGAAAACCCAGGATGTTCCCAGCTACATTCCATTGGAAGCTAATCACCTTGTGTACACTTAGCCCACACATACCAATTCATGACATTGTTCATGTGTGTTATCTAGCTGCCGCAGTAGCTACTCTCTATCTATGAATAATGTGACATAGAAATTCATCTGACATAATATTATGGAGTAATTCTTCAGTACTCTTTGTGCAACAACTGCAACTTCCTCTTTTGGTCCTTGGCCGGATTTAACTATGGATGTCCAGTAAATGTGCATGACGCAAGGCAAGTCAAAACACCTTGGTTTGCTATTGTTATTGTTCCTAAGCAACCACCCTGTATGCAAGGGAGGATGGTGTACTATTATATCAATTTTTGTAAGGATAATTGTTTAGCTCTAATTATAGCTAGCTCTCTCTGCATTACAAGAAAGTAGTAGTTTGTTAAGTAAAACAGAAAGTGAAAGTAGGGACTTCTTGGGTTTCTCATGAGATAGTTTCTAAGTAACTGTCAATAAACACTTTTTAGCACACCGTTCACTTATCACACATGTTATAAAATACAAGCACAATACTGATTGATAGTTTTATATATATGCTGACAAACACTGATCATTAAAAAAATACAATCTATTAACATTAAGCACTAATAACACTACATTTACATAGAACACAGCTACTCCGCTACAGTCCATTAGTTACACTTTCTCTTCAGAGTCAGTCTCTTCTGAACCATCACCTCTTAGCTTGCCATGAATTTCGTCAACTCTCTTATTGATATACTCTTGTTGTGCAGGAGTTGGTGGCTGTTCCCTATTCAGTGTTTCATGATCAAACCTTCCAATTGTGTCTCAAGTCGATTTGTTTCTTCTGCTGGTAATTGGGCCTGCCTCTTTCGTCGTTCACGCTCTTTAAATGTCTTATAGCAGCAATAAATGATTGGTATAGAAATAAGTGCTGCTATAGCTATAGCTATAGCAGCAACACAGCCGATGACAATTGCAGCGGTTTGATAGGTTTTCTCTCTGTCACATTGGCCCTCGGTTGGCTGATTCAAATCTGGAAGGGAAAAGTGGAAAGAAATTCTATGGAGTCTCTGTCATAAAGATTCTATCTTACTTGCAGTTGTGGCTGCATCCAAACTTTTGGGGACTTGTGGACTGTAGACAGAGTCAACACGAAGAGCAACTTGGATGTAAAAGTTTTCATCTTGGAACTTGTCAGGCACGTCGTGCTGCTCAAGCTGAAATACCATTACTGTCGTGCTAGTTATGATGCTGTGTGTCTGGACTTGCTGAGGCTCCTGGCTGGGATTTGCAGTCGATCTGAAGTATACAATGGCTGTAACTGGGTAGAGGCTGATTGGATTCTTTAGTTCCACCCACAACTGAACCTGTTTGTGTTCAGTGATGATGGTCTTTAGGTAAAAATCTGATTCTGCACAATGAAAAAGATTTAACACAAGATGAGTGCAGTGTATATACGAGGCAAACTTTTTTCAAGTAGCTAAAACTCAGGCATCCTGGAAATCTATACAGTCAGTCAAACTACCAGAGAGAAGCTGTGCTCTAACGTCCCATTAAGCACTATTCTATAAATCTATAATCCACATTTTTACAGGTATAATAATATGTAAAATAATTTCTTTTTACCTAAGATAGTTAAATCTGCACTTTCTTCTGCTTTGAAGGCGTCGCCATCTCTGCCATCCATGATGGTAGCAACGCATTTGAACCTCCCACTCTCATTGAAGCCTGGTGTATGAACTGTTACTACACTCCTCATCTTTGTTCCACCATTCATCGTGGTGTTGGTGATACTATACTGGGATGGAGTGTAATTGGTCAAGTTCTTATCCTCTCTGAACCAAAACAGTCTCAAGAAAGGTCCACCACTCGCTATACAAGTAAATGAGACACTTTCAGCTCCTTCATTATCAACAATAGGTGTAGGGGCAACCTCAATGATAGGAGACTCTGTGAGAATAACAACACCAATCAATAGAAAGTGTATTATTATATATAAAGAGTGAAAACTTACTGTAAACTGTCAAAGTTATGGTTGAAGGATTTCTTAGATAATAAAAAATATCTCCATTCATAGTTGTGATGCTAACTGAAGGTTCGTATGTCCCACTGTCTGAAAGTTGAAGTGACGAGATTGTGAGAGAAAAATCCTCTCCCCTGGAAACAGTAGTGAGCTCCGTAATCTCATTGCTTGTAGTCTTGTAGAATGACGCAGTGTAATGGGCAGCTAATGCTCCCTCCCCGACACCACTTCTGAGGGTCACCGACTCTCCAACATGCCTCTCATAGTATTCTGGAACTTCCTCTTTACGAGGTATAGCTGAAATGTCAAAATCAACAATCACACGACTCAAATACAATTACAGGACATAATAGATTGAAGCGTCCCCAAGATTTAACTTACCAAGTAGTGTTATCGCCAAGGCAGGAATGCCTGCCCCTGGGTCTCGGCTGCAGTAATAGTAGCCTTCGATTCTTTGGTCAATGTCGAAACTAAAGATTCCACGCTCAGAGAATTCGTGAGTGACGCCTTCTCGGTCCAGTAGCGATGTCACGTACTCTCCCGTCTCGTTGAACAGCAGGAGTTGAGTGTTCAAGACTGTCGCCCTCGACCCATTTTGGAAAGTTTCACGGCACTCCAGTTGAATGAAGTTGCTTCCCTCCAGACGCGTATGAGCCACGATCTGAACTAGCTGCCCGCAGACAACTACGGCAAAAGAGAGCGCAAGAATGCACTTCAGCAACATTTCTGCAGGTAGTATTAGTCTCTTCGCGGTGGATAACTCCAGAAATAAAAGGCTTGCTTTCACTGCAAGGTTTTCTGTTTATGAAGACAACATGGTGTTGGCTTTTGCTTAATCATCTGCCACATGGATGAGGGCAATAATAGCAAAGGTGGTCGTCTGATAAAGTAGCTAGCTATTTATGGGTGCTGTCTGCTAACGACGTGGGTATTACCCAGGTTATTCCCCTGCCACATGAAATGCACTACATCACCTGCTGATCTCACGTGGTAGTAAGGTCACCCAAGCTGAATGGGGAAAACCCAGGATGTTCCCAGCTACATTCCTGCTTATGCAATATCCTCTGGGAAGGATGACCTACCGCTCCATGCATGAATATTTTATTACCGAGGAATGGCAGTATTTATGCCAAAGACCCAGTTTTAAAACATCCAATTATGACTAGGACAAAAAGGGACAAAAGCTGTTAGAATATCTCAAACATAGAAAGTGAGTTTATGATCCACTGCACAGATTATGTAAACATTACACAGCTATTCAATAAATTGTCAAGAGAGCATTCGCTCATTACAGCATAGCTATATTTGTGCTATATAGCTATGCTGTAATGAGTGAATGCTCTCTTGACAATTTATATTGAATAGCTACATAATGTTTATGTAATCTGTGCAGTGGATCATGAATAACCCCTCATTCCTCGTGTAAGTGACACCCAAATCCTTGTGGAACAACACACTGCATTGAGAGAGCCTAGCTATGTGACTTTATATGGAATTAGTTGCCAAAGTGAACACTTTCACGAGCATGTGTGCATGTGTGAGGGGAGGTTGGGAAATTAGAAATAGCAATAGTATTGAAATATTTAATTGGCTCTGGCCTTGTGTTGCATTTTTCTGGTATAAAATTATTTTGCATTACCATCAGTGTGGACTAGAATGCATTAGCGTACACAAAAAGGTTGTCTGTGGTTTGATACAAAGGACAATGCACAGTTATATTAATGTAATATGCTAGGGTTTCTTCCACTGTTTGTGCCTGAAAGTATAATTCTGTGTGTTTGTATACAGAAAATATTTTAGAACTAAGCATGTTATTTTCATCCAGGTGTGGTTTAAAAACTTATAGTTGTAGCTAGCTATAAATTGCTATCCTATTTCTGAAACCAAGTGAATTCCCTTTGCGCGCCGGACCACGCACACGCGGGGCGGGGGCGGGCTGGGCTATAGTAGTCACGAGACCTCTTCCTGGACACAGGGTGCAAAGGGCACATGTGCGGGGAGTCGTCGGGAAGACTGCGTTCATTCGTAAGTGCTAGTCGTACAGCCGTAATATATAAGACGGTGGTGGATAAAACCACGCCCTGTATCTTTGTATGGTTGAGCCAGATCTCTGATGATTGGTTTTGGGTCCCTGCCCCAATCCATTATTTATCAAGGCTGACAGCCAGTCACGACAGTCCTAATGTTGCCAGCAAGCTGTAGTGTTAGGGCCCAGATCCTAAGAATTGAAAGAGGAACAAAACAGTCTTATTCCAGAGGTGGTGTAAAAACCGCTTTGCATGGGTTCACTTGCTGACTCAGATCATGGAATGCGTAACGCGGACATGTTGCTTGTACCAACAGAACCCTGCAAAAATATTTGTGCTAAGTTCTGCGTAGATACCACCTCAATGTTTGTCTTTGTGGTTACCCACAAGACTCTGCACTCAAGGAAAGCGCTCTACCTGCTGAGGTAATTACCTTGGTATAATATAGCTCAACTGGTAGAAGGAGCGCTCGCTTAGAGTGCAGAGTGTCGTGGGTTCGAATCCCCCCTAGACAAACAACGCTTCAATGTTAAATATTGATCTGCCAGGTAAGGATATTTGAGGAATAATCGTAACAACATGTCTGAGACTCATGGGTATGACGTTGGATCGTCACCTGTCCTCAACAAGACTGGGGCACCAGTGGACGAACAGACTCTGAGACGCTACAAGTGTGTGTTCTGTGGTCTACTGTTGAGAGAGGCCTGCCAGATGGCGTGCGGCGACAGGACCTGCCGAGTCTGCCTTCCTCAGGAGTAAGCCCCTCTAATTAATTCTACATTAAAACCTACCTATGTATAGTGTTGTTAGTATTGAGCGGTAAGCTAACTATCATGTATTGTCTTTATACGATATATAATCATTTGTGTGTGTGTGTGTGAGCTAGACTACAAGGACGGCCAATGCTAAGTAAGCCTAGTTCAGGTGTAAGTAAGCTCTTGTGTATGTACCACTATATTTTTAACACTGCGCGCCGCGTAGTATTGCGGAAATTTCTCCGCGTACACGGAATTACGCATGCGCGGAATATTGCCACGCCCATCCGCGTAATACATAATTCCGCACCACTAAAGTGGCGTGTGGCGTTGCGGAGCAATTACGCGCTCGCCATTTAAGTGGCACGCGGTGCCCATAGTGTTAACTTTATATAATTATAACTCCATGGTTACTATTGAATGGTGAGCCAAATTACCCATTTGGGAATTCATAATTGTACCGCCATACAGTGATACTTATACATATGTACCTGACCTGTGGTTCTCTCTTCATGATGGATGCTATTTTTGTTCCATTAAAATGGGCTGATTTTAATCTTTGACGCATCGGTTTTGCTTCCTTAAAGGCTCCTATACAGCAGGTTGAATAATTGAAGCAGTTGCTGAAATATTCTTGTTTAGTGTTTTCTATAGATAAGGGCTAAATTGCAGCACGAATAGAGCCATGCTTAGGGCAAGTCATATTCCATACTTAAGTCACCAATGAAATCGCCCTCAATCTTTGCCAATGAAGACAACTGTAGACAAAAAGTAACTATGCAAAACGTAAACATGCTTGCTGTATGAATTCATGCATAATCACTGTATCAAAAGGTTGATTTGTCTGAACTAAGGGCGTTGAAACCTAAACCACTCAATGATATACACACTATACTGTCGATACTGTTTATTACTGTGTATGATATACACACTATAGTCCAGGGTTCTCGTTAAAGCGCGGAAGAGCGGTGCAGCGCCGCGCTATAGTTCCACTGCCCGCCGCTCTATGAGCACCCGCTCGAATAATTGTATTCACAGTTTACGTCAGTACTATAATAGTTTACTTAAGCTGCCCACGTGTTTCACAACAGAACCACCACTGTGGTCAGAACGATGAAGCGCAGAAACGCTAGTTCCAGCTGTGCTCAAGGAAGTAGCAAGAAAGGCTACAATCCTGCGTGGAAGAGTGTCGTTCATTTACCACATTTGTCTCAAATTCCCCCAGATTCAATCTCTGAGAGTCTAAATGCAAAAATTTTCCTGTGGTTTTTTCCTAGCTAGAACACTGCTATACTATCGATACTATTTATTACTGTGGTTGTAAATTTAATGGGTGTGATTTAACCACATTACATTTGTGTGGGTAAACTTGTGACAGCCAAATATAAACTCAGTAGCTATATACAACATTCATTCAGGCATCATAATAAAAGCTACAGGCATGAACCCAAGGGGAGAATGTTTAGTACAGCTCAGGGCACTTGTGACATCTTTTCTTCACTATGTATGAGATTCCTCCACTTTCACCGCAACATTCAGATGCCGACATTCCAGTAATAAAAACTTTGAGCTCGTCTCGGCAAGCATCGAAATGATAGCATTCGACATCGTGGTCTGTAATGACAGGAAGGAAACAAACGGAGTAATTCCAAGTGTGGATGGTGTCCTCCAAATGCTTATGTAGTGTCCATTTTGCATCATTCACTGAACAAAAGCTATGACAAACGACCACCGGGATAATGTAAAGTATGAGTATTTTGCAAATTATTTTAGCTTGAGAAATTTAACATGTTCATGTTCATTGAGTAAATAAACTCTAGCTCAATGAAACTGATCTCTTGGCATAGATGTTGAATAAATCATAGAAAACTGTCATACGTTTTGCAGAGGCAGCATATTCCAATTGTTCTTCACCAGACCTGTAAGGGTAGCCACAGACCTCCAGACAACAACTCAGGAAGGCAAACAGAGCAATAGCTGTGAAAATATTCATTTTCGCCTCCAGTAGTCAACTCTCTGATTACTTGTTGTGTTATAATGCCTTCAGTAGCTAGAGACAACTTATTTGATTTACATGCCTTATCAAAGACTTTAAATAGAAGATTGGCAGGAAGCTGAAAATCAGAAGCTATTGTCTCTTTGTCAATGAATTCAGGGCTGGTTACGTTTCAGAATACGATTGTTTGTCTGTGTATTGGCTATAGTGATTAGCTAACCCTCGGCGCACATGTGCTAGTCTGTCTGCCTGTCTCTCGCATCTTGTGCTGCGACACACACAACTAGGGACACTAGCTTATTGAGTAGGTTAATCAGAATGAAAAAGCCGTTTTCTCTAAAATTGCTCTCCTGAAAGGTTACAGCTTTTTATGTTTACCTGGATAGGTTAGCCATTTTATTTCAAGACTGACACTCATGACTTGCCCATGACCTTGCATGTACACACGTAAGCACGGCCATTAGTACTTCCGAATGTGACTTTATATTTACGCTATACTGATTAATCCTCTGGCACACACATACTTTTCGATCTTGCCATATAACTCCATAGTTACTTTTTGTACATGACTTTTGCCAGGGCTCAATTGAAGTCTTACAAACTCAAGGGAATAACAAGCACTTGCAGCTCAATATGCCTTTTGTTCAAGAAACTCTATAATTAGTGCTTCTCAAAGGTAAGGGTCCAACTATGCAGCTTGCAGAAAGCCATTACAAGGCAAGTTATTCCACAGTCTCGTGACTCCTGCTACTGCGTTAATAATTCTTCTGAAGCATTGTTTTAGTACAAAAGGTAGGATATGTAGATGGAACCTTGGAGGACGAGTATCCATTCTGTTATTGCCCTATTCGTTACACCCAATGATTCTGCTAGCTCATTGTGCCGAAATCTACAACTAAAATGGGTTAGTCTAACACCTTGCATGGGCTGATGCGGCAGATGAATTTCATGAGACCTTTGTCCCGTGGAACAAAGTTTTGATGTGTGTCGGCGTCATGACTCCATTTAATGCCCCTTGTTGGTGGAACCGCTCTAATACCAAACAAAACTCTAATTGCGAGCAAGTCTGGGGAGTTTTTCCTTTGAACTATGATATTCTGGCATGCCACTATCACTTTTATAGTCATAATCAAAGTATATAATTATGTTGAGTAATTCAGGCATTTAGTTCCAGCCGCTCCAGCACTGCTACTATACCTAAAGTTCCCACTTTCATCTATAATCTTTGATATAGTAGTCCATTGCAGCCTTCCTTTCTGTATTCTTTCTGGAGGAAACATGAGCTGTTTATTTTACATCTACAATTGCATGCTTGCTGTATGAGTTCATACATAATCATGTCTCAAAAGGTTGATTTGTCTGAACTAAGGACGTTGAAACCTAGACCACTCAATGATATGCACACTATATTATACTGTGGTTGCAAATTTAATGGGTGTGGTTTAACCGCATTACATTTGTGTGGGTAAACTTGTGACAGCCAAATATAAACTCAGTAGCTATATACAACATTCATTCAGGCATCATAATAAAAGCTACAGGCATGAACCCAAGGGGAGAATGTTTAGTACAGCTCAGAGCACTTGTGACAATTTGGTCCTTCTTTCTTCAAGTGGTATGAGATTCCTCACTTTCACCGCAACATTCAGATGCTGACATGACAGTCAACTATAAAACTTTGAGCTCGTCTCGGCAAGCATCGATAAAATAGCATTCGACATCGTGGTCTGTAATGACAGGAAAGAAACAAACCAGAGTAAGTGGATGGTGTCCTCCAAATGCTTATGTAGTGTCCATGTTGCATCATTCACTGAACGAAAGCTATATATATCTATACATGGACGGGATAATGTGAAGTATGGGCATTTTGCAAATTATTTTAGCTTGAGAAATTTAACATGTTTGTAACCTTTTATACCTCTTATATGGTTTATTTTATATGTCGCAGATTATTTTTGATACCATTTGATAACTTTTATACCGCCTGTACCGTCTGTTGTACTCATTTCACCACCTTCGTTCATCAGCTCACGTTTTTTGCTAGTCCCAAGTAAGCCCTGTATGTTAATTGTAGCCCTTTTGAAGTCCTGTTTTCTTTCTCTTTTTCTTTCTTTCTTTTTATGTATATAGCGTGAGCTGTTCAGTTTTCATGTTCATTGAGTAAATAAACTCTTGCTCAATGCTACTGATCTCTTAGGATAGATGTTGAATAAACCATAGAAAACTGTCAGACCTTTTGCAGAGGCAGCATATTCCAATTGTTCTTGACCAGACCTGTAAGGGCAGCCACAGACCTCCAGACAGCAACTCAGGAAGGCTAACAGAGCAATAGCTGTGAAAATATTCATTTTAGCTTCCAGTAGCCAACTTTGTAATGACTTTCGCTCTAGTAGATTGTGGCGTTAGGAATAAATTTCTGAAGGCACAGTGTAGCCTCAGTAGCTATAGGCGATTTAAAGTGCACTTACACGCCTTAACAAAAACTGTAAATGCAGGAAGCTGAAAATCAGAAGCTATTGTCTCTGTCAATGAATTCAGGGCTGGTAACATTTCGGAATACCATTGTTTGTCTGTGTATTGGCTATAGTGATTTGAAAAATGTGGTATTTAGTATGTGACCAATATATCAGATAGCAAAGTGAGCCCCAGCCCATCTAATCGTCTGAATGCAGGAATGTTTATCTATGTTGTGACCCGCACTGTGTCTCTGCACTTACCATATTGTTTTACATGATTCGAAATACACGCGGAAATAGATTCGCTCGCCAAAGATGCGTTGCAATCTTCTAGTATTTCAATCAAAAATGCTATAATAAGACTTAGCTACTCAGTAACTCCCCTCCCCTCCTTGAAGCTCTGGTATATAAATGTCCACAAACCTCATTACCTCTAACAGTTGTCTTTTGTTTCGGTCGTGTTAATAATTAATTAGTCTGCCAGATACTGTTTAGCAATTGATTGCTACTATAAGCAACGAAATGAGCAAGGCTGGAACTAAACTTCAGCATAGGACTCTTGTGCAATGGAATTCAGGGCTAGTCAGATTCAGAAACATCGTAGTCATGTGGTGACGGTATTATTCCTCTATTCATGGTAGAGGCCTTTGAGTATCCTATTCAAGCTAATAAGGGCCAATATAGAAGCTTTAGGGCTCAAATGAGATGACTGTATATATTATGCGTTTAATGATTGTGGCACACCTGTGCAACAAATATAATATTAATTAGCTATATACATGCAACAATCCTGCATCTAACTACCAAACAATAGCAGCTACTCTATTGAGTTCTGAGGATAGTTTAGTATGAATCCGAGCACTCGTTACAAATTGCTTCTTTTCCTGCCCACTCCATGTAGGATCCTTCTTCATACATGTCGCAACACTCCGACTTATCCATTGTACTGGATTGTGATGCACCACTACATCCTCCATTGTCGTAGCACTCAGGCTGGATGTCTGCAAACACTGCAACAAAAATTGTGCACGCGTAAACATGCATGCGTACTCTGCCAAACAATTATATGTACTGGTGCACAAGTGATGAAAAACAATCTTTAGGATAAACATGTTGCTTAGTAGATGATTATATGGGGCATTTTTGCATGCTACTGCAAGATTTTCAGACTTTCTTCAATTGCAGCTTGTTCCAGATTCAACAGGTGTTTTTGAGATCTCCCATGAGCTTTTCTTGAGGGGTTGCCACAGGCAACGTAGAGACAGCACACAAATGCAAACAGAGAAAGAGCTGCAAAAGTTTTCATTTCAACTTCAGCGATTGACTCTTCTTTGACAATGGGGAGTTGTAGTCTTGTCTCATCAATGTTCCAAGACTTTACTGCAAGCAACTTGAAAGAATGAAAATGACAAAGAGGGCAAAACTATATATTATGAAATGTTCACAGCAAACACTATTGTGCAATGAAATTCAGGGCTGTTCAGATTCAAAGAGTTTCATGTGGTCATCTTGTGAAGACCTGCTGAATGGCGTTTTGTGACTGGAGTTGGATCATAATATAGTATCTATTGTTGGCAGTCTAGGGTTTGACAAAGCATAGAAACAAGGCTAAGTTATATGCATCTTTTGTTAGGCCATTTGCAGAGACTTTATGTCTCTCCGTTCTATGTGGTCGAAACCTAAGTAGGAAGCAGGGTTTTTTACTGTATCCATGTGTGGTCCATAGGTTATGGACTGCCCAAATAGCAGCAGGAGGATTTGAATACACCAGTAGAGTTCATGTTCTACGTTTCTACCCTTTCTACCTTACTTCCACTCTTTCTGACGTAACTCATCCACATTCTTTCGTTCTCAATTAGGAACAAGATATACGAAAAAATATGGTAAAAAAAGCAGTCCATTATGTCTTCTCTACCATGCAATGGTTTTTATATTCATTGTCAGTATTTATATAGTTGCTTTTCAGTTTAGTATGGCTTGGTGCACTTGTGGCAGATCTTCTCTTGGCCGTTCATGATGTAGGATCCTTTCACATACATCTTGCAACACGCATCTGCTGACATTCCGAACATTGGATTGCCTCCTGCACATTTTCCATTACTGTAGCAGTTAAAAGTGCCTGTGTTTATTAAAATAAGGAAACTCTAATGCATACAAATTACGTCACAGTTCCATCCGTGCATGAATATGCTTGAGTACTGTGTGTAAACTGCGTTGAGGGGTAGCCACAGACAACATCCAGACAAACGAGGAAAGCAACAGTTGCGAAAATCTTCATTTTCACCAACAACAGAGTGTGTTCCGTTTCTTATTCTCCTCTCTCTTGTCCCTTTGACAATAGTGAAAGAGTGCAGCACTATAAAGGAGGACTTGCAAGAAGCGAGTCATTAAAACGGTCTATTATGCAGTGGGATTCACAAAATGGTCATTGTGAGGTGCCCTATTCATAAAAGGAAGTCGGGTTACAAAGTGTATTATGCAATGGAATATTCGGTGCGAGCGTACAGTTATGGATAGGGTTCACACTTTTCTCTTCAATGACTTAGGTATGTATATTATAGTGAGCTGTAGAGGTTGAGTTTAGCTCTCTTTATGAACTTGATCCGATCTCGTAAATGTATAAGATGACTGGGAGTTAAGGAATGGTAGGCTCAATACCTGAAACAAGCACTCACATGGAAGGGGAGGTTGAGTGCCACCCTATTATGTCATTTGTACATGGTTGGCTCTGCCCAGCACTGTGGGGTATTCTCTGTTGTCCTATTGCTGTTTGAGTAATTAACCCTCGGCGCACATGCGCAGTGAGGGTTACAGTACTTGGTCTGTCTGTCCGTCCGTTGCCACGTTTTCTGCCACCACACACAACAAACCGGCCAAGAAGTGACACCAACGGGTTCAGCGTTTGACTGGCTTCGTGTTAAAGATGGCGATTTTCATAAAAATACTGAGTTCAAAAGTTATGGCGTGAAAACCAAGTGAACTAGCCAGTATGCTAATTAGCACAGGCTTACCTCGACCGGGTCTGCTTGCACAAGAAGTTGCAACGAAGGGCATGTATCGACTCCCGCATGTTATCTACTACTGTAGCTAGTCCGTGTCAGACTCTCCGCGAGCTACTAGCGGGAGATCACGGGTAAACACGCTCAGCCCATCAATTAGTGTTACCGCGCATGCGCAGTTTTCCTGAGGGTTTGCACTTTAGTGCATTGGTGACTGAGTTAGTCTCTCAGTTCCTCAAGTATATTATGTATGTAGCATATCCTACTGCGACTGATAGCACTGTCGCACATACCGTAATGTTTTATGAAACTCGAAATAGACGAAATAGAATCAAACTTTCACCTATTGACTCTCATGACCCTCGCAAGGATAATATGCCATAATACGGCCATTGACCATGCAGAACTCAAAGCAGATAAAATTATAACCCATAATTTAAGCTCTACCAGCAAGAAAATCTCCCTCCCATTCGTTCCTATGAATAGATGTGTTCGGACTTTATTTGCTAAGAGAGAGAGCTACGGATATATTGTACTCTTGGCAAATGTGCGTTCACAAACACTTATTGAGTCCCTTCACTACATGACTACCCACTACACAGCAACTGCTAGCTACATTAGTTCAGTTCAAATCCGTGGACTGCTAGATAGCAGTTACTACTCTGGACATGCGTGGCAGGTTGCTCCCTCCCATAAGACATAGGATCCTCCGTCAACCACGTAGCAGCATTGATTTGGTGAAGAAACATCAGGTACTGGGTCGCCTCCACAGTAGCTGTTACTATAGCAGTGTGGATCAGCTGTAAATATGCAAAAACAGTGAAATGGGCTGTAAGAGTTTGTAAAAAGATGTGTAATATGCATACTGAATAATAATGTGTGCATTTGGGTGCATGCCAATATCAATAATAAGGTTGCAAGGCAAGGGCAAGGCAATAACACAACCCGCTACACCCAAGACAACTGTTTTATCCCAAGGATGATATCAGATGGGTACCCACCGACTATGCATTATCTCTTGCTTTGAATCAAAGTCTGCAGGAATTTGATTCGAAGCAAGAGATCAAAGTCTGCAGGAACCAAACATTAATATTTCATACCTTTTTCAAGGGCTGCATATTGCAGATAGTTTTCTCGACCTCTCCCAGCTGGCCTATAACGGTAGCCACAGGCCACTTCCAGGCAACACAGGAGAGCAATCAGTGCAACAGCTGCAAAAACCTTCATTTTAATCACAAACTGCAGTTGACTCTTTATGACTCTCGCTCTGCTTTCTCTGCTGTTTCTCGCAACCTCTCTCTCTCTTGCTAGCTTTTATAACGGAGTCGTGTTAGTACTGGATTCCTAGTGGCAGACAGTGTGATTATGAGGAGCTTTTAGCAAATTTAGCCAGTTTTGATGGCTGATTTATAGACCTGGCAAGAGTTCTCAACATAAAATGTACTCAGAACTATGCAATGTGGGCTCTTTAGCAAAGCATTCGTGGGATTCCTGGGTATTTGCTTTTATCATAGTCATAATTGCCACAGAGAGAAATCCGTAGAGGGTGCAGCATTACCTATTTGAATTGCTCTGAAGCTAAAATATGGCAAACAAACTCTCTCTCTTTTATAGTCATCGTAGTACAGACTCTGGCTGCCACTCTGATTATGAGCAGCTTTTAGCTAATTTGGCCCGTTTTAAGTCTTGGATTTTGCTCATTACTACACCTGGTGTGGACATTTTATCAAAGCATGCGTTGATGTTTCGCTAGAAATGGCGCATTTTGCCGCAACACAGGTGTTTTCCTCGCCCTTTACACCTCTCTTAGCCACAAAATGCGCAAATCCTTCGGAGTTGCGTCACGAAAAGTGGAAAAGGTTGGTTGGCTGGCTGGGATGGGGCCCACGCCCTACACCCATGTGGTCTAAGTATGATTTGTCTCCCAACCTAGCACTGTGTTGCCTTCTGTCTTGTTATGCACGTAGGCTGTTCCAGTGCCCAGTGTGTCAAGAGAAGATTGACCCAACAAAGCCTCAACAGGTATGCATACAGCTAAAGGCAGTGTTACGTAATGGTTGTGCAGTTGAACTCAAGTTTTCTGGAGCAATGATGTGTTCATTTAGCCAGAAGTGAGGGTGCAGGGTTACATGGCTTTCTCTTTTACGTATATACCTACATGAACTTATTCCGCATTTGTAGCTAAGTATTTTTATGTAGTAAGCTGTACACAGAAAAAAACGCAGCACCTTCTAAAAGTCTTGCACGTCTAAGCAGTTGGGCACTCCTTTGCCTTTGTGCCCTCTTGGTGGTACAATCATGCTGAGTTAAGTACATACTACCCTCTCACCAAAAACACCCAAGGAATTGTTCCAGTGATCTACGAGCACTGTAGTAGTATATACCATTGACTTAGGAGCATGTGAACAAGGACAAGGCCGAAAGAAAAAAGCAAAGGAAACAACACAAGGAACTTGTTGCTTTTTCCTCTTTTTAGTTTGCCAACAATTCATTACTGCATAAGCCACTGATGTACCAACCTAGTTGGCAAGATTATGACATCAAATGATGCGTTTGTCATTCATGTCTAGTTTTTCCCAGACAAGAGTTGCCAGAATGACATGAAGACATTTCAGGTCAAGTGTGGCTGTGGCTGGCAAGGTCCACTGCTAGACTGGGAGGTCAGAGTTCAGTTTGCTTGTGCACAGAATATGCAGTAATCATCATAGTGAGCTCTGCCGAATAATTTTATGTGGATTCGTAGTTCCTTCCAGCAAAAATTCATTCCCGTTTGTAAGTAAAAGTCACTCATAAATATCGAGGATTCCGCATTTGAGTTAATGATTGACAAGCTCATCGTTTTGGCAGTATATCTTTTACAATAATTATTGTCTGATTATTTTTTTTGTGTGAAGGGTGGTGTAGCTAAAGAGTTGGTTTCACACAGAAGTGCATTAACATAACTTTTCCATATACGTAGGCTCACCAGCAGACATGCCCTGCAAATGACTTACCAGAGTCTGCCACTCTTCAGGTAAGTACAGTATTGAAGGCACATGAAAGGTACATATGTGCCTAAAGTACCATGTCACCTAACCAGTGTGTGACTACACCTCAAGAAGGGAGAGGCCTGTGAGAGGCATAATATTTTATTCATTCTCGGGGTATAGGAGGATTGGTTTAGTTGCTGTCTCTGCAGGTTGCAGAGGTGAGGAAGATGAGGTCGGAGGTCACTGAGCTAAAGAAAATGGTTGTCACTACAAAGAGCAAAGTGGAGTCTCTGACCACACAGGTATGTGGTGTATGGCTGGGGTTTTCTTTCAAAATTGTGTGATCGTACGAAAACCCAAAATCTGGAATCTATCATCAGAAATCGTTTGCCATGTTCTCTTTGTATGGTGTTTGCTAAGTTTTCCTGTCTCATCAAGCACTAGCTACACATAGGTTCGCTTTGACTACGTGTTGACCGCTTTTGCGCAAGAGAGAATTCGCTCCACGGAACCACGTGCACGTGAACAACGCACAGGCTGCTCGTCCCGATTTTTGTCAGGAAATTGATTTTGACCATTGTAATCCAACTTCTTATGCTTGGAAGCTAGACATGTAGTATGAATGGCTATGTGTGTGTGTTTCCAGGTGCAAGAGGTGAAGGAATTGGTACAGGGAGCTCAGTTTGGTGGAGGAGGAGGAGGAGGAGGAGGGGCTGTGGGAGCTGAAGCCACGCCCACTGTGAGTTTCTAGATCCTAGTATTATGTGTATCAAACCTGACAACAATAGGTATCAATAGCTGGACTTTAATACACACGACTTGCTACACTCCTACATATTATGTATGATTATTCCTGCATGTGGACTGTTTCGTTCGTTTGTTTATATTACCAGACGAAGCGACTGAGTGACAAGTACACGCAGCTGAATGACATTGTCAGTCAGCTGGTGGCAGACGTGGAGCAACACAAGGGAACCATCACCCAGATGACTTCCGCCGTTGACAAGCTAAACCAGAGCATCCCTCGCTACGACTCCATTCTCGAGGAGCTCAATCTGAAGATCGAGATCATGGAGGTTAAATCTACCACCGGCGTGTACATCTGGAAGGTGAACGAGCTCCAGCGACGCTACCAAGACGCACGAATCGGGAAAACTGTGTCACTCTACAGTCCGCCGTTTTACACCACCATTCACGGATACCGCCTGTGTCTGAGGTGCTATCTGTATGGGGATGGACAGGGGAAGGGGACGCATATATCGCTTTTTGTTGTCCTCATGAGAGGCGAGTACGACGACCTCCTGGCGTGGCCGTTTTCCCACCGAGTCTCGTTGAGTCTAATTAACCAGGATCATCCCCTCAGCCCGGAGAAGGCCATCACTCACAAGTTCGTACCAAACAGTGACAGCAGCAGTTTCCAGAAGCCGAAAGACACTTTCAACATAGCCAGCGGTTTCCCCGAGTTTGCCCCTCTCAATATCATCTCAAACCCTTCGTTTGTCAAGAACGACACCATCTATTTCCGAGTGAAACTGGATTCACCCGATTCACCGACTGGGCCAGATACTGTCATGGTATGATGATTAACTATCATTCATGTGGTAATGTAAGTTGTGTTGCATGTAACTCTATACATACAAAAACGCACAAAGACACTTACCTACTTTTTTCCTACACGTTCTGTATAATAATTATCAATGGATTGTTTTGGTAAGCTTAATAAAATTATTTTTTACGCATGCATTTTCTCATGTTGTGTGCGCAATAATTGTGTGAGTGTCGTAGGTGATATAGATCATGGGGACATAATTTTGTTGATGAGATAATGAGTGTGACTATTTTACGTCCACCAACCCTACCCTACGTTGGCTGTGCACATAGCGTGTGCTTCCCAGAGATCTCTTGGTATGTATACCATGGAGGCGCATGCAAGCAGCGGGTAGAATACATGATCACTTTTCTACTTCATGCATGGGTAGTAGTAAATTTATCATGAATTGGCGTTTCTGTATAAAGGAATGGTGGGTTTAAGACACTCTACTCACCCAAGTTTTTCTTAGAGCTGAATGAAGATTAAAGTGCAAACCCTCCGCGAACTGTGCATGTCGCAGTACCGCTAATTGATTGGGCTGGGCTATTAGTATGCGTTTACTCATGGTCTCACGCTAGTAGCTCGCGGGAAGTCTGATACGGACTAGTACGATAGCATGCGGGAGTCGATACACGCCCTTTGTTGTGGCATCTTGGAACTCCGAGGTCCACAGAGCAAGCGGAGGTAGCTAAGCCAGTGCTAATATTATTAGCATAGACAGACCAAGTACTGTAACCCTGGCTGCGCATGCGTGCCGAGGGTTAATTATAACCCATAATTTCAGCAAAATCTTCCTCCCATGGAATAGAGTGTGTTCAGACTTTATTTGCTAAGAGAGAGAGCTACGGATATAATGTACTCTTGACAAATGTGCGTTCACAAACACTTATTGAGTCCCTTCAGTTCACTATAATACATAACTACCTATAGCTACCACACAGCAACTGCTATATATTATATATATTATAATATATATAATATAGCTATAATTATTATACTACATTAGTTCAGTTCTCAGTTTCAAATGCATGGACTGTGCTAGATAGCAGTTAGTACTCTGCACATGCGTGGCAGGTTCCTCCCTCCTTATAGGATCTTCTTCGACCTTCGATCTTGCAGCATTGGTTTGATGATGTAATAACACCAGATAATGGCGCGCCTCCACAGTTGCTGTCAAAATAGCAGGCTAACTTGTTGGAACATGCGTGGCAGGTTCCTCCCTCCATATAGGATCTTCCTTCGGTAAACTTGCAGCACGTTTTTGATGTAAAAATATCAGAAAATGGCGCGCCTCCACAGTTGCTGTCCAAATAGCAGACTAACTTGGCTGTGGTTTTAAAAACAGTGAAAAAATTTCTCCTATGCAATAGTGTGTGCATTTGTGGTGCATGCAAATATCAAAATAAGGTTGCAAGGCAAGGGCAAGGCAATATCACAACCCGCTACACCTAAAACAACTGTTTTATCCCAAGGATGATATCAGATCGGTACCCACCGACTATGCATTATCTCTTGCTTTGAATCAAAGTCTGCAGGAATTTGATTCGAAGCAAGAGATCAAAGTCTGCAGGAACCAAACATTAATATTTCGTATATACTTCTTGCAAGGGCTGCATATATATTGCAGATAGTTTTCTCCCTTGTTACTTCATATAAGACTAAGTTTTGAGTCACGAAATTTGTTGTTGGTTACCCAATGCCGTAAGAAAAACAGGTTATGAACATGGGTTACGAGCTAAGAACAATGAAAATGCTGACCAGCAGATTTCATGACTCAAAACTTAGTCTTAAATGAAGAACCAACCATCTTCTCGACCTCTCCCAGCTGGGTAGCCACAGGCCACATCCAGGCAACACAGGAGAGCAATCAGTGCAACAGCTGCAAAAACCTTCATTTTAACAACAAACTGCAGTTGACTCTTTATGACTCTCCCTCTGCTTTCTCTCCTGTTTCTCGCAACCTCTCTCTCTCTTGCTAGCTTTTATAATGGAACTAGCACAAAACGTTGTAGGAACTTGACCCTTACAACTTAGAAAACAAAGAGAACATGGAGTACCTACAAGAAGCACAACACAGTAAGCATTATCCGCCAGCGATAAAATGGGCATTAGCCATACAATGCTGGAAGCGCTCTAGCTCTGCAACGGAGCATTTTCAGAGAAAACCCCACATATTTTCTGACCTTCGTCGCCCGTTGGGTAGATGGTATCGTTTCTGGGACAAACAGACATGCGAGAGGTGAGATTGAGAGTAACGGACACAGACAGACTAGACAGCTAGAGACAAACCCAACCCTCGCTGCGCATGCGCGCCGAGGGTGACTGAGCATGTGCACTACATAATATTTAGGCAACACATGAAGACAAACAGAGCACGTGTAGCTACAAGTCATTTCACTTCAAACAGCTGTTATAAATAGTATTGTTAGCACAGAATGCAACGAAATACATGTACGTAGCACTCATTTGCAA